TATTGACTGACACCAAGAGAAACACAATGCTTTGCAATGTTTCTTGAAATTTCAGTTGATAGGTGTTTTAATATATGCCAATTATCAAAGTGATACTGACAACAACGTAAATAAACAAAATATTTACTTTTGCAAAGAATAAAACCAAAAATATATAAAAAATCAAATGTTTTTATGATCGAGGTCAGACACTGGTATTTTTTTTATTACATGCAGGAAAAAAGATGTATTAAGTATTGTATTTCACCTTTAAGCTACTTGCAAGAAAACAGATATATTTCTTACGTGACACACTCGACAAATGAAACAAAAGGAAAAATGAACTATGACAATTTCATTGTGTACACTATTTTTGTTTACCATTCAAAGATTACGTTTTTTTTTGTTTTATTGCAGACTAACTCAGAAAAACTGCAACTATCCATATCATTTAAAAATTCATCTTCTATTATCATGTTTAGACCATCATCATCATCATCATCATCATCAGCCTGTCACGCTGGCGGATGGCCTCCACATCTTTCTCCACTCTTCACGGTCTTTGAATGGACCCCGTGGGACAAGAAAAGAGGCAAGGGAAGACCAAAAAGGAGATGGCTTAGACCATAAATGAAATTATTTGCAACAGCCAGATAAGATTCCAGTTAACAGTCCATAATTATCATATTATCAATACAAACAATGCAACTAGATTTTTGTATAGTGAAACCATTCAAAATTTCAAGAAATTTACAAAAATTGCCTTTATGAAAACTGTCATAAGACTCATCATACACTTTGTACGCAAACTCTTGTCCAGACAATAAATTTCAATCAGCATTTTTTATAATTTCACCATACATTATAAGCTTGAATATGCAACATGCCTGCCTAATTTGTAATTGGAATGCACATAAGGGGCAATACCATAAATATTGCATGTCCAACGTCTTTAACAATGTCGTTTCAGACATATATTATGCGATGTTGCAATGTCGCATTTTCCCACCTGGGACTGTCTGCGTCGGCAAGAGAATTTCATACGAGCCATTAAGAATAAGAGGGGACTGGGAGCTGTTGTCAAAAACATGGTTCCAAAATTGCATATTTTATTGTCACGCATTCATACAATGCAAAAGTTAATGACCTTGAGTTTTGATGATTTTTTACTTGTTTTTGTTGAATCGCGATTGCTTATCATACTTGTGACAGTCGTGTCGTCTACTTTCTTGTTGATCCATCTGGATTCTATGCACAACTTTCTAATTAATATGTAGCTGTCAAATGTAGAAAATACAAACTGTGAAATGTTTTTTTAAGAATAAAGCAATAGACATATGGCTGTGGTGATGCTCTACTTCTGTAAAAAGTAAAATATCAAATTTTGTACTATGTTTAGAAATTTTTATTGAATAAATAACTTTAGACATGACAAAAAAGCTCAAGAATGTTTTTCGCAAATTTAAATTAAATCTAATAGCACTCTGATATTTAATATGATTGAACATTCCAAAAATTACTGAATCAATTATGAACTATATTTGGCGTAATACAAAATAACTCCCCAAGTACCAATCTAATACCATTCAAACCTAAATTGAACAGCAATATAGGATTATACCTTTGAAAAACAACAAGAAACAAAATATTCAAATTTCAATAGCTTTCAATGAAATTACAGTTTTTGAAATTAAAAACGTTTTTGCCGTTTGTGCATGATGGTGCACATACTTTGAGTGGACCGGTCTGTTAAACTTGCAAGATCACATTCCCAAAAGGAAATGCATGATAATGATGGACAAAATTAATTGATAAAAGTATGCGTGGTATTTTTTTCAATATGTAATGTGACATACTTGCCACACATACAGAGCTTTCTGGCCACGCAGGCTACACATGACATTTTTCTTCAATAAATGATTAAAATGAGTAGTGATAGCAGATGTAACAACGAGTAATAAGTATTTGGGAAAATATGATACATAATACATGTATATATATGTATGTTAAGCAAATATCTTTTATCTTTAAATGTTCTTTTTGATTTGCCATGTATTTTTGAATAAAGAAGAGTGGAAGTGAAATAAAGAAAACAAATGGAAAACAAAAGTTTGAAATATAGAAAAAATTTAGAAAAAATATAGAGACATAGAAAATACAGAAAATATAGAAATATAGAAAAAATATAGAAAACAAAATTTAAAATCAAACCAACTTTATACAATTCATGTTGCCGATACCTACTTGTCTTAATCTTGCAAGAGCGAGTATTTTTCATGGCCTTTCCCGAGGTGTCTGTAGTGGTACTTGCCAGAGGAAATGCTTACCATGATACACTCACTTACCAATTTCACCATTAGTACTTTCAATCCACTTCTGCAAATTTGTTAAATAAATGAGCAATTTACACTTCAAATTCAACTTAATTGTAAAACATACCCGTTGTTTCCTTATTATTGCTGCTCTGTAACACCATAAAATAAGACTAAAATACATCACAGATCTTTTGTGTCATGAATGTAGCAATATTGTTTTATGATTGCAATATCTTGAACAAATGGTATTTAAATTCACATACACATGTACAGCAAAACAAAACATTTACAACAAGGCTTACTTCTCTGTTTAGAAAATGTTTTTCATTTTCTAAATGAGAAAAAAAAGTATTTAAACAAAAACACACGTTTATTGTGCTTAGTAGTGGACCTGATTTTTGTTAAAATAACTAAAATACAGGAAACAGTAAGGATGAAAAAGGCAGAGATAAAAAATTTGCTCACCAAACTTCCGGCGGTCAAGTCAAATATGATGTGTATGGTCTCCTTGAGTTTGCGTCAAAACAGACATAATGTAGATAAACTAGAAATATTAAGCCAAACACATAGAGATATACAATAATCATCTTTCAAATGCATTCAAACTATCTGCATCTAATATCCAAATAAATCAGTCTGACCTTTCTTTGGAGCGTATTTCCGAAAGTAATATATCTTCTACAATTAGCAGAATACCTCTTTTCCCTTGGAGTGATCAAAGACAATATCAAAAATTAAACAGAGCCAACATAATGCAGAATGCCAGGCCAGTTTCGGAAACAAAACGTAGAAAGAAGAAAAGTAGACTTTACTGCAGTAACAAATCCCCTTTTTACCGCAGACCAACAAACCATGCCCCTCCCAAGTATCAACGTCACCAAAATAGTGTACCACCGTATCAGATACATCAGCTGATGAAACTACCGTCGTAAAAGTCGCATCATTTGAACACTTTTCCTTACCACCATAAGTTATCTGGTCTAAATCGTCTCCCACCATATCGCCTACCATCGCCCCAGCGCTAATGGGAATGGTTAGAATACTACGACACAGTCTACCACATAACCAGATCCTATTAACACCAACACAACATCATAATACAAGCATGTATAAAGAAACCACTACCACATAACCAGATCCTATTAACACCAACACAACATTATAATACAAGCATGTATAATGAAACCACTACCATATAACCAGATCCTACTAACACCAACACAACATCATAATACAAGCATATATAAAGAAACCCCTACTAGATTCCAATTCTTCCCTAGTAGCTCTAACAACTTAAATCTTAAACGAACCTTAGAAATCCGCCATAACCAGCATAATTTGCTGAAAATTAAACTAATTAAAACCAAAGCACAGAGGAGCAAACTTCCAATTATTTTCCTCTCTAATGTAAGATCACTCCTTCCTAAGATTGAGGATTCATCCATTGTTCAGCAATCTAATCAGATTTCATGTGCTTTAATTACGAAAACTTGGTTATCTGACCAAATTAATGATTCTGTTTGGGAAATCGATGGATTTTCATTCATTTGACGAGACAGACAATACAGAAATGGAGGAGGAGTTTGTGCATTTATAAAGTCCGATATACCATTTTATACACTTGATAACTTTCAGAATAACTACCATGAGTTCTTGTGGTTGCATGTAAAACCTATTTAACTCCCCCTTAACATTTTTGCCTTTTTGCGTGTGTGATTTACCATTCACTGACAAACGAGAATAATATCATGATAGAGAATTTATCTTCTAAATTGGACTTGGCCCTTGCTAGATACCCAAATGCTGGAATTTTAATTGTTGAAGACTTTAATAGATATTCCTTTTCTCATCTGTACCGACATTTCAATCTTAACCAGCTTGTAAAGGAATCTACAAGAGGTGATGCCATTCGTTACTTAGTTATTTCAAATTTAAAAAGTCATATCACCTATTGGACTTAGCGACCATAAATAAATCTATACTTTTTACACCGGTGGAACTTTGCATTAGAAATGAAACGTATAATGTAAGGATCAGAAAATATAAAATATCATCTAAAAATGAACTTGGAAACTGGTTATCGAAGATTAATAGGAGTAGCTTATACCACATTTCATTTTGTGACGAAAAACTTAAAGTTCTACATACAACGTTAGAATATGGCCTTAATACTTACATGCCTTGTAAAACGGTCAAACGCCATAAGAATGATAAACTATGGATCACTGACGATTTTAAGGAACCATTCAAGAAACACAAAATGCTTTCCGTCTGAAAATTACACCATTGTATAACCGATCACGCAATCAAGTTAACAAGCAAAGTAAAACGTTAAAATCGTTATTCCTTTGACGTAAACTGCAACATCTTAAGTCGAATCCAAAACCCTAAAAGTGGCGGGATTTTATTACAGCCTTAACTGGACACACACAAAATCCCAGATTTCTACCTGCCTTATCAACAATGAAATTTTCTTTCTGGGTCATATCAACAGCTATACTTTCAAAACTTGAATGAACACCAGACTATATAATTTTTGCAATGGAAACTTCCTCAGTTAAATTTAGTAATACAAAAATATAATTTGAAAACGTTCTTTGTTAGATAGAAAATCTTTTTTTGACAAGCTTTCAGTCACTCAATCACTTCAACTTTTTAATCCTTGCCAACGTGTTTTGGATGTAAACAAAAAAAATTACTTCACAATTTTAAACCTACTTTTTATTTCAACCAATTGATCTAGCCATATACTATAGAAGTTTATGTAATTAAGTCGAAACTTCCATTTAAAAAAAGTACACTAAGTGAAGCATATACTGAGTTGCATTGCAAGATTTCAAAAAAATACATAAAACGTCTCTCAAATCTTATTCGGTTCTATATCAGGATTTTCATTGACTTTGGCGTCAGTAAGAGCAATGGGTTCATCAGCACCAGGCAAAGGTTGAAATACTTTCAAATGAGCATATTGACGAGGGCCAACTAAAACCTATAAATAAAGAAACAAAAGTGTGAAATGTCTTCTTTAGGTTGAATATTATTACATTGATTACGATTTGTTTTTTAATACACGCGTGAACATTCTATATGGAATATTAATCAAAGAAAAAATATTTATTTATACAGGATTATGTAAAACAAGCAAAAACAAATTGTCTTTTCATGTGTGTACTTATTGGCCTTTTTCGATAAGTATAAACATGTCTCTTTGAGGATGCCTATCCAGTAACAAATTCAGCCAAGAAGTTTTGATTCCTGCATGTAAATCTTACAATATTATTATCAACAAAATTATATGTTATTTCTTAGGAATTTTGTAAACTTTTTTAGGCATCTACAACAAAAAATGTGAGGTGCACCGCGAACAAAACACCAACCACATGTTTTCACACAGCAGCTACTGTTTTAAATATGCGAATAAAAAGTAAACATATCAGTAACGCAAGAATTTGGGCAAAAAGCGATGTTACAGTAAACTTTTTACGACAACTGCCATTCTTAGAAAAGCAAAACAATACTTACGTTTACAGCAAAGTTAGTTCCTGCAACCACCTGGGTTCTAAAGGTTTTTGCTTCAAATGCAGTAAATGTTTTATCAACTTTTAGTTCAGCTTGATATTTAACCTGCCAAAAAATATAGAAGCATTTCACTAAGAATTGGAAATTGTATACGGTTGTGATATTTATGCATTGTTCAAATTTTACACAATTCTCATTAGGATGTCTATAAAAAAAATCGATTCTAGGCAAATTATAAAGCCTATTGATAACAGATAGTTGTTATTGCTGTAATTTCATCTGTGACACTTGCCAACTGAAATACAACACAATACGTTCACAAATAGTTGTAATTGACTAATTGCTGCATAAATTCATCGACAATACTTGCCAACTCACATACAGTTGTAATTTTTTTGATTCATGAGATATTAAATTCATTATAAGTATCCCTCATATTAGCCAGCAGCTTCTTATTGCTGATGTTTGACGAATGTAATTCGAAGGAAAAACACTTGGAAAATAGTTTAACTATCTATACGATACAATTTAAAACGATTTGTTATCTTTGGACAAAAACAAGCAAATTTATAGCCAACACGTAAAAAACAGAAAGGACGAGAAATAAAGAAATCTTTGTTTCAGGTCAAGCAATGCCATATAATAATCCTTTTATTAGCCTCGCTTTCGCTGACTTTACCGAGAAATATCGGACCTCTGTCTTTTTGTATAAACCTCGCCCTACGGGCTCGGTCAGTACAAAAATGTCTTCGGTCCGATATTTCTCTTTTAAGACGTCGTGCTCGATTATTAAGGGCTTATTCATTCAGACAAACACCTTAATTCTCTAGACTTTTGCTCGTTTTTTTTAAGACAGCCGAACTATGATGACCCATGCAAGAGTTTTTAATACATTTAAGTACTTTAGTCAGATTAAAAGCACGTAAAAGAAAACGAGAAGCCACAGACTTACTATAAATAGTATAGCCAAATTGTAATGTGAATATTTGCATGACTGCTAAGACCACAATGCACTGCGTGCATCACTCTTTTGACGTCATTACGCATAAAGTTTATATTGAGTGTGTAACCTTAATTATTAACTCTTGTAAAATAAATGGCTTAAAAAAGTTTCGTTGCGTTATTATGAAGAAAGCATTAGCTAAACTTTCCAAAAGATAACAAAATTTAAGCACGAATTCTCACCAGACCAACTAAACCCTGTGTTTCAGGAGTTGCATATTTGATCTCGCTCCATCCACCAGGCATGTTTAACGTTGACTTAGATATCGAAAACGCTAAAGAAAAGTTGAGTTCATTAAGACTGTTAGAAACCATGTCAATATATATAACCACATTATACGCGTATTCCATGCATATGTCATAGGAACACATTCACACGCAGATAACGAAATCTCTTAAACAGTTATGAAATCACAATTTAAAAATAATATCAATACTCCATCTACTGGAGGTTTATTAAATCTTTTGTGGCTATTAATTCGTAAACTTTTAAAACACATTCTTAGAACTGGAATAGTTGGGAACAAAGTAATTCAGTCTGAAAAACGTACCTCTCAATTGACCGCATCTCACAAACTTTTGTGTGATACGACCCAACATACTTCTCTATCACAATCTATGTAAAAATATTTTTTTGAGAGAATTATAGAAAGGAAAGCGAAATATTGATAAGTTAAATTGTATACGCGCATTAAAACCCAAGATTTCAATTGCCATGAAATAGAAGCCACTGAATTAAGCTTTGTATAAATGATCTTTCAGCTAATACTTTTTCCGACAACATAGCTATACAGTATATATCTAATACATAGTTTGTTTTATACAAAGCTCTATGAAGCATTCGTTTATGTTGAAGAATATCGTCGATTGTCCATTTATTATAGTCATTACCGAAGCAAAGCAAAAAGGCGATTGCTTGACGGTTTCGTACGTGGAAATTAATGTTCTGATAAAAAGTATCAAATTTTCTAGCACTTACCAATGTAATCCTCTAAACGTCTTTAAAAAGAAAGTGTACGTACGAGCTATTTATATAAAGCTCTTCTATCACAGACTGAAGCAGAATGAGAAATATTTGAAAACTATCTTGGTGACGCCAGCAGTCCAAGCCCCTTGAGGGTTACAAATAAAGACTTTCTGTTTTGATGAGAATTTTTTTCATGCAAAACATCAGGCTGAGTTTATGAAGTGCTAGAATAAAGAGCAGGAACTGTATAACTCAGCTTGATGTTTTGTGGTTAATTAAATTGATGGTGCAGATTCAAGAGAGTCATGTCGGCACTCTTATTTTTCATAAATGTCTTATGACCAGCTTCCTGACACAAATGCGTATCAATATTACTGATGAAACAATAAAATGTTGTTTTTTACTTGACCACCAACATAATGATCGTGACGTACAGGCAAACCGTGCTTTAACTAAGGATCTAGGGACAGTATAGTCTCACTAAAACACTGCCTTTAGCGCGTAACTTGAATCAAACATCTAATGCTTGCATCATTATCATTTCTCCATTAACTTCCAAGTAAAGTTTTTCATTTATGTATTATGAAATCCTCCAAATTTCTTTATAAAGAAAGTATACGTACGAGCTATTTTTATAAAGCTCTTCTATCACAGACTGAAGCTGAATGAGAAATATTTGAAACTTTCTTTGTGACGCCAACAGTCTAAGCACCTTGAGGGTTACAAATAAAGACTTCCTGTTTTGATGAGAATTTTTTCATAAAAACATCAGGCTGAGTTTATCAAGTGCTAGAATAAAGAGCATGAACTGTATGACTAATTAAATTGCTGGATGCAGATTGAAGAGAGTCATGTCGGTGTTGGGAATAAGTTATGTTAATTGAATGTCCTACTGACAGAGAGACAAATTCTCCTTAGTTGTTTTAATTTCGTTAACCAATAGGCTTAGAAAAAATTTGATTGATGTTTTGTTGTAAATGAGTTGAAGAGAGAGTCTGAGTGAGTGAGCAATATATGTATGAGATAAAAATTGCCAGGGAATAAAATTTCGTTATTCAAAAGCTTGAGTTGTTGCATCTATTCGACATAGTCAAAGGGAATATTGCCTGGGCGACGGGCAAGATTTACAAAATCGGCACTCTTATTTTTCATTAATGTCTTATGACCAGCTTCCTGACACAAATGCGTATCAATATTACTGATAAACAAATGTTTTGTAATTGACCACCACATAATGATCGTGACGTACAGGCAAAGCGTGCTTTAACTAAGGTTCTAGGGACAGTATAGTCTCACTAAAACACTGCCTTTAGCTCGTAATTTGAATGAAACATGTAATGCATGCATCATTGTCATTTCTCCATTAACTTCCATGTAAAGTTTTTCATTTATGTATCACGAGGCAAGCATTCACTGATATCATAGCAAAAAATAGATACACAGGGTGAGGATGTAGGTACCCTTCACCAGAGTTACAGTATACACAGAACAAACAGCAGTCAGCAGTCAAACTTTTTACTGAAGACTGAAGCTGAACGAGAAGTATTTGAAAACTTTCTTTGCGACGCGCAACAGTCTAAGCCCCTTGAGGGTTACAAATAAAGACTTCCTGTTTTGTTGAGAATTTTTTTCATTCAAAATATCAGGGTGAGTTGCAGAGATTCCTGCTCTTTATCAAGTGCTAGGATAAAGAGCAAGAAGTGTATAACTCAGCTTGATATTTTGTGGTTAATTAAATTGCTGTATGCAGTATACACAGAACAAACAGCAGTCAGCATTCATACTTTACTGTACAACTTGGTCCAGTATTTTTCATTAAATAGATTACAGGCTGCAGCTAGCCATTTAAACATTCCTATTGGTGAGATAACACATTTTACTTCACCGACATTTGCCGCTTTAAAATTTCGATTAGAGTGGAACTGTTGTTTCTTTCTTTACTCTGGCCTTGAGATGAACAGAATTTAAATTATACGGTACAAAAAACTTTTTAAAAGCCTGTATAGTGAAGTCCTTTTGTAATAATAACATATGAAAAATAACAACAATAATTTAATGTCAAAATGCCCCAAAATGAAATCATTCCCTCTTTTGGCATTTCTCTTTGGTACAAAACGTTCTCTGTGCTCAATGTATAATCAAAATGCCCAGTAATTGTCTTTCCTTTTAGTGCAAATTAATATATATATATATATATATATATATATATATATATATATATATTCACAAAACTACAATTTCATCCCGACAAGCCTGTTTCGTGATTGCTCACTCTTCAGGGATTTAATATATAATATATAGAGTGAGCAATCACGAAACAGGCTTCTAATATTTACGCTCTGCTCTCGGCATCGAGCACTGTTTTATACGGAAAATCATAAATTATAAACTTCCTATATATATATATATATATATATATATATGTATATATATATATATAAATTCAATTTGATGCGCTATAACAATGTATCTCAACCCGTTTTGCTCCCAGCAGCTCTATTTCTTTGAAGAATTGTCTTAATGCGCATGCGCCATTATGGTGCAAACTGTATAATGAATTTTGTAGCAAGAGTGAAGTAAGGGGAAATAGAATATTCTGAAATCCAAAAAAGTTGCTTTAACAACAACGCTTTTCGTTAATGCTGGCACTGTTGACAAACATATTGAAGATTTTGTAAGATCGAGTTTATATAGAATGTGAAGAATATTGGTATTTAATTCGCCGTATTGCCGTATTTGCCAATTACTTGGCTAGCGCTGTTTATTTAGCAACCTGTTCTGAACTTCCGGTCTAACTACACTCATACACTACGTGTTGGTGAATTCGTCCTAAACATACGACAGAAAAATTGAAAATTTCGCACACATCTGCCTCTGTAAGAAATATTTTACAAGAAATGAAGTGCACTATTTTTGTCCTTGAAGAAAGCATTAGGTGTGGATTGCTTTAGAACAATATAAGAAAGTCATGTATACGACTGTATGACTTTGTCGAGTTTCATGTTATCGCTATGAAAGTGCAAATACGAAATGGATGTTAAAGTCACGCAAACATCGCGAAAACTGGACTTGTTCATCAATTGATGCAAATTGTACTACGTAAATATTAATCGAACATCGTTGCATTTTACTGCTCGGTGCCTTATACTTATTTAGGTGGAAATTAGCGCTAAAAAATTTCGCAAACAAAGCATCTTGTTCTTCTGAACACATTAACTTTGCATATGTGTCAGAAGAATAAAAAAAACACAACATAATCGAAAGAAGATTGTAAATCATGAGTGATTTCGTAATTTATATGTTGTATACTGCATTGTAATAATAAAAGAATGTAATTCATGAATGACGAAGGTAATATTATGGCGTGCCAATGTCCTTATCATGTATCCGCTACGTAAGTGCGCATAAAATTAACGTTTTTTACGCAATCTTCAGTTGTAGCTATTCGTCAAAAAACAAACTGCTTAGCCTTTGATAAGCACTTCTCGAAATGAATTTCAGTTTAGCATTTTTTGAAATGCCAAAGTTCGATACTAAGCTTTCTTGAAACTAACTTTATTGCAAATTCTACATACCATGTTAATGCTGGTTCATTTTGCATTATAACAAGTGAAGATTTTGTCATATAAATAAATCTAAATTAAAGTTTTTGAGCCAAATTTTAATTTAGATTTACCTTTGCAAATTACAAAATCTTTGCAACGTATTATAAAAGAGCTCTTTTGTGTTGGTTATGATGTTTAACATAATTACTATGAAACAACATAATTCCATTACAGAAACACAAACTTGCATTTACAAAAATTGGAATCATCAAGTCACTTATTACCCATCCACCTACATATGCGATTTTGTACAATTTTAAAAAGTACATCAGGTAGGGCGTCATAATCTTACTCATAAAATCTGCTTACTAGGCTATAAATTCCCAGTTATTGCACATTTATAAGATGAAGTGCCATGAAATATGTAGCAATTGCACGATTATCACAATATAATGAATAAAGATTTTCCCACTTATTATGAGAATGACGTACACCAGTTTACATGAATACTACAGTTTACTGCTAAAATATACTGCTTTAACTACAATAATTAGAGCAAAGCTATTCTCTTTAAACTTTGAAATGCCAGGCAAAAGTTCTATTTTTGCATTAAATATTATTTAACGATGTCCTTTCAAACATCAAACAAAGTTTCTCTTGTAAAGTGTATCAATTCTGGACAATGATTATTATCGCTAAATACACACAAAAGGTATAGAATAATAGGTTTAAGCATGCAGAAAAAAAGGTCTAAAAAAGTATACAACTTCCTTGTCTAACTTACTAAATCATGTCGAAACTAAGAATTGCAAATGGTTTTTTGTTCTCACTTTCTTTAGTTGTTTATACTTTAACAAGGAGGTGGAAAACTCTGTAGTATTTTATGTTGAATAGGACTGATTTTCTTAATGGCAAGTAGCACTACATCGATGAAATCACTATAGCTTCTAATGCTAAGAACATGATCTTGTGGTGGGGTGAAGCAATATTATAAATTTCTTCAATATCACGTGGGAACTTTCCAATAACGATAACGAAGATTTCAACTCGAGCGTGTTTCAGTTCATATGCATTATGCATTGATAGCATTTTGTTTACATTGTATTGTCCATCAGTGACAAGCAATACCTTTTTCCATGATCCGGGACGACTTCCTGTGAAATAGAAAAGAAAAACGTTCAATAATTTTACACGGTAAAACCTAATTCCTCAAAATACCATATTTTCATGTTTGCAAATTGTTTTTCAATTAATAAAATCTTTCTACATGAACATTCAAATACTAGCCAGTTTGACCAGTTCTTATAATCGCTCGGATTTAACAAATAAACTTTGGGTATATTCAAGGTTAAAGTGTTATTTTGAATAAACAACTATAAAATTAAAAATTATAAGAAGTACGATTATTGGTCTACAGCTGAGTTTGCATTAGCTTGTGAAAATGAGCAAAAATCGATCTAAGCTCAATCTAATAAATCACTAAAGATAATTCTCAAAGTCAAGGTCAAGGTGATTGTTGAATGTCTCATATTTTGAGAAAATTAATGAGATGAATAAAGAAAAAAAAATTTTTAATGAGCACCAAACTAAAGATAAAATTTTTTCGTTTTTTGTTTATAAAGTTACTAAAAAATTCAATTGCAAGTTAACTGCTTATCAAATTGAGTGTAAAATATGTTGTAAGAAGCTACTGTGATTTGGGTTGACAAATGTCTGATACAGTGTCTCATTAGAAGTGTAGCTGATATGGCAAACAAAACTGCAAGCAATAATTGATTGTAATTTCATTGGATGAACAATTTTTAACCTTTACTATAAAATTTTAAGGAATTATGCAAAATAAGTTGAGTAAATTTTCTTGTTTTTATGAATCAACTACAAAAATAACCACACTTTTTCTATAAGTCCTTTTTTATTGACAAAAGCTGTTTGCTTAAATTTTTCCATTTGATTGGTTATAAATATTTCTGAGATAAGGCCAGGATTAACCGCATGGCTAAAGGTGTGTGAGCCACGGGCCCAGCGCGTTTGGGGACCCCTCGCTTAATTAATTTATGTCATTATAACGTTAAATTTAACCTCGGTTTAGCAATAATTATTGCCAAGTTTATGGCTACTACAAATATAGGCCTCTAAAATTAGAAGGTCCCTCTCGTCAAGGGGCTCCTATAAGTGCGTAAACCCCATAAAATCCAACCTGTTAAAAGTGCGAGAGCCCTACATGTGGTAGCTGCTAAAATGCAATTTTATACTGTAAACTCAAAAACACACTGTATGCTGTGCATTAGCATGAAAAACTGATCAGCATGCAAAGAGGCCATAAAAGCCACATAAAGGGCTACAGTAAAATCAATGATTGGCATAAATCGCCGACAAAGAAGAAAAAAAACATAAAACTCTAGATGAGGCCTATTCAATATCAACTAGAACAAACCAACTAGACGCAGGAATGCAGTTATGCATGATATAATATTCTGGATCCTTGTGACGTAAACTGTCAAGCTCTACCATTGGCTAACAAAGATCTCAACTAAGCTGTTGCAATCTATGAATCACTCATATATTTCTAAATGGCCAGCACTGCAGCATGAAAAATTTGAAATTTAGAAAGAAGCTCAGTCAAGGCAATTAATTAATACCTCAAAGAGGTCAAACAAACGCGTTAAAGATGTTGTTGCTAAAACCATTTAAAATAAGTGATGGCGTATAGTGCAGAACAAAGTCTATAAAATCTGAAAAAACAATTTTCTTCAACGAGAGAATTGACGCTAATTTGAGAGGATGACTGGTGCACACACCAGAATTACTGCAAGCAGGTTTGATTTTTTTTAAAAACTGGGTGATATTTCAGTAAAAGAAATGATCGAGAGTAAAAGTGTCTTCAAGAGATATGCTCTACAGATTTACAATTCAATTTTCCTCGTGAGTGAATTTGTGCAGTTTAAATTCTTTGAAAAAGATTTTGCTATGAAGTCATTAACTGCATTACTGCAACTTCTTTTAAAGTTTTGAATGATACATACTCTCTTGAATATGACAACGAAAATGATCGAACAACAGACGACTTTTACAAAGTCTCTTGCTTGATATATTAAACGTGCATTTATAAACAGGCCTTTTCTGAAGAACATCTTAAAGCAGTTATGCATTGCAAATCTGTATCTTAATGTCATCATCTAAATTATATTCTGGCGAGCAGCCATTTTTCAGATTCAAGCCAATTAAGAACCAGATTCGAGCATGCATGCATTTATTACACAGATGCAATTAAAGAGCTTTACTATACACAGAGTCTAATTTGTAGGATTGACATGTCGTCTATAATTAAAGACTTAATTTGTTCTTAATAAATGCGTAATCACAACATTTACAGATACACCACAGAATGACATCTTAGTAATTTTTGTGGAAGCACTGTCCAAAATGCGCGTTTAATGTAAACGACGAGTTTTTTGAAAATAGACATGTTTCAAATTCTCATGACGCTATCTTCAGTACTAAAGATAATTACATAATTAATAATCGAGCTCGAGGTCTACACAGAGATATATTGGACAGAGGTCTTTTTGTACCGACCGAGCCTGTAGGATGAGGCGTGTACAAAAAGACAGAGGTCTGATATTTCTCAGTAAAGGCCGAGAAAGTGAGGGTATAAAAAGGCTAATTATATGGCATTATTTGACCTGAAACAAAGCTTGCTTTCCTTCTCGTCTTTAATGTTTTGCACTGCTTGACTTTCACTTTTCTAGTTTTTGTCAGTAAAAAAGAAATCGTTTTAAATTTTATCGTATGGATAGTTAACCTGTCTTCCGAGTGTTTTTCTTTCGACAAACATTCGTAGATGGTTTTTTGTTTCGTTTTTTTTTGCATTTTAATGTATGCTTTACGAGGTTTGTTCACATTTGACAGTAAAATTGCGTGTTTTTGGACCGTGGTCCATAACGGGACAATAATGGACCGGCAAAAATGTTTCTGAGACAATCAAAGCGCGTTTTTTCACAGGAAGTGACGATTGCCATATCATGAATAAAAGTAAGATGGCGTAATAACTATAACATAAATATATAAATATGAATAAATTATAACAATAACGTGGAATTAAGATAAATTGATGGAAAGCGTGTTGGCTACAAACTAAATATAGTGTTCAATCTAAAAACTTGAACATTGAGGTCAGGGTTAGTTTTGTAAATGTGGAGTGCTTCTTTGATTTTAAGGGAGAACGAGGTGTCCGCAGTGTGAATGATTTTGAAGCAAGAGGGTAAATACTTAATTTTACATGAATGAGATTTATAATTGATTTCGGTAGACATTAGATTTTTGTCTGTTGTAATATGTTGTGGTGGCAAAATGAAAGATACGTTATATCTCTCAACCGTGCAATTTACATGCTGAGAATCGTCGCATCGGAGCATTTTATAATTCTTGGCTACAAATGTTTAACTACTTGTGATTTTAACTTAAATACTTTTATAGCAGTCAAATAATTAATTGTATACCAGCTTGATTAGATAACAACTCAAATTGATGTTCATGCGTTCATTGATAATGACAAAGTAACTTAAGCTTTCAGTTTTATCTATTTAAACAACAAAATCTTAACTCACCTCTTCTTGGGCGATCAAATAGCTGTTTTGCTCCTTTTAAGCCTTCAGCAGTGTTTGTTGCGCGACCCTCATATGTAAATGAGTGAGATTTGTTTGCAGCTTGAGAAGTAGGAACGAAATCAAAAATAATTGTTGCGTCGTAAGAGTACTGAACACCAGCCCAGTAAATGTTGTAACTGTCAGGTAATTCAGCATTAATGAGATATTTTAAAGCGCATTTCCCCTTCTTGAATTCACGAGATCGGATGGATCCAGATGAATCCAATAAAATGACAATGTCTTCGAAAAATTTCCGTGTCTTATTTCGCACACCATTTTTAACATGAAGGAAATTCGTGAGTAAATGATTGGCAGAAGCTTCTTTTGAAGGAATTTGCATGAATTCTATAAAAAACATATTAAGATCAATCACAAAGTTGTATCTTTTGCAAAAATTCGGGGTTAGATAAAAACAACTGCTCGGTTAAATTCTTAGTTAATTCAAAAATGTCGACGTTTTTTTTCTTCCACCCCACCCTTCACGCCCCAGTAGCAAAGACATGCCGTATATTCCTTCAATGCAAACATTTTTCAATTCAATTATTGGAAAAACAATGAATAGATTTAAATTTACTAAAATAATAAATAATAGTTTTGCGGAAAAATTAGCATATTAACTGAATGCACAATGTTATGAAATTTTTACAAATAGCCTTTGTCTCATGCTTTGCACGCTTTTATTTTAACTCTTGCTTAATTCACGCGTGTTTGAATTAATAAAGAAAAACTAGCAGAATCCTAATGAAACAGTTTTTGAAGTTTTCATAAAAAATAATCATCGAAAAACGTTCTACTCCGTTATTGACTGACGTTTCGACAATCTTAGCGGTAGTCATCTTCAGAGTTAAATGTTTGAACCCGTATCGTTACATATTTATAAATGTAGATCGTCAAATGACTCTGAAGATGACTATCGCTAAGGTTGTCGAAACGTCAGTCAATAACAATAGAAACCGTCCTACTCAGGACTATACCAACCTGGACGATCTACATTTACAAACATTTATGTTAACTCTTGCTTAATTCACGCGTGTTTAAATTTAATAAAGAAAAACTAGCAGAATCCTAATGAAACAGTTTTTAAAGTTTTCATAAAAATAATCATCGAAAAAACCCAACGTTCTACTCCGTCCATTTCCTGGCATTTTCTCCATAGTATAGTGTAGTCCAATGACGAAGCCAGCCCGAAGTTTTATTCTTATAATGTAAATTTCTCAGCAAAATTATTATTCACTTCTCTAGAAATTTAATTCCATTCATGTTTTTTTTAGTGATTGAACACAAATATATTTGAATTACATGCGCAGGAGTAAAACGGGCTGGCTTCGCTACTGGTATCGTTATCTTGAGCTGTCTATATACACGAGCTGACAAACTTACCTTCGTAAAACTTCCCGTCTCCCATCGGTTGGAGGTTCTTTCCTGTTGATGTAAAAGAGAATTCAGCAAATAAATAGCAATTATTCGACGAAGTTTAGCATGACAACAAGAAATATTCAGACGAGGTCAATCTTATCTTCCGAAGCGAAGCTGAGGGAGATAATGTTGCCCCGAACTCTTAATATTATTCGAAAACTGAATTAAATATTTGTTTTATTATACAATTACAAATGCAGAAGCTTATAAACTATTTTGTGCTAAAGCCATAAAGTTTTCTGTTCATCGTTATATAATAATCTTTGCGGTTTAGGGTTATTTTCACGTAAATATTTAAGGAAAACCTTCCGAGCTCACAGTGTAACCCTTTCGCGTTTTTTGCGTCTTGTTTTTAGCAAATCAAACGAAAACTGTTCGTAAAACGGTTGCAAATATAAAGCAAGCTGTCAACTTTATACATATCGTTAACAATTGTCACATCAAACTTTACGTCATCTACAAATAAATCTCCATGTTTTGTAGATGGCAAAATAGGAGAATTTTGTAGAATCTGGTAACTCATTATCGAGACTGAGTAAACATTTCATAATAACTGCAACTATACTTCATTGTCTTTTTGCTAACCAAACTTTATTTTACGGTATATTTCAAAATTTCGTACTTTGAAAATTTTCAATGCAATTCATGTAAACAACCTCAAGTCTGAGTTCATTTTTGGATCACTATAATAAATGTTCACTGGCTATCTACAAATTATACGAGGAGGTAGGACCCGATTTGATGTAAACACAACGTGCATGTAAATAGACCTGTTATAATATTTGTTTTTATTATTAAGATAATTTTTATTTGTTAAAGAAAGTAAGATCACTCGTTTTCATTTTGATATTGTTTTGCAAAAGCTTCACTTGCATGTTTTAATTAATTTTACTTTATATGTATATAGGATGTAGCTAATACTAAAGTTTGTCAACTTTATAACTTAATATTTTTATTATAGTTAAATGATTTTTAGTAGCATAAAAAATATAAGATACTTCAAATAAACGACGATTTTTTTAAAAGCAAACATGTTTTGGCATTTTTTATTCCATCTTCAGTGCAAAGCGAATAGGAATTTTACACAGTTCAAATTTCAAAAAGGTTGGAATGCCATCTTTAAAGCTAAAGAGACTTTTGATTTTGAAGTGGAGTTTAGCAAAGTTGAGTAAATTCTATTCTGTGATTTTTGAAAGGGTGCCAATGAAAGGTACTTTAAGAAGTCAGCCTGGAGTTGGGTAGATATGTTCGTCTTTGTTATTTGCATCGCTTGTGTTTTTGTTATTTTGACTAATATTTGTCTATGAAAAGTGAGGGAGAAGAGTTTTGTTTAAAGGTCATTGAGAATGGAATTTTATTTGATAATGCCTTAGCTATGCTGTTAAAATAAGAAATCCGAGTCTTCCATGAAAAAAAACTTTTAGTCCAGCAGATATTGAAGCAGACGCTACCTCAATTAACGAGCCAATACTGCCATCTTGAAAATTTAGTCGTATGCAAATTTAAGCGGAATATATTACATAACGTCTAGTGTAGAGAAACATTTATCATTTCTGTAAGTAGGCAGTAGGCTAAGTAAGCTGAAGCCTTCAGGCCCATGCTATTGAGAGACCAGTAGTATCTACACATAATTAATGTATACTTTTTGCCATTCAAAAAGGCAGATTAATGCTCTTCATTTAGAACAAATATGTTATTCAAAACTTTTCTATCTACTTTTTAAATCCACAATGCTCAGAACTCAATAAGTAGTGGGTTTTCTCAGTTTGAGCTTTTAAATCATTCCCCATCATTTACACTTTGAATTACAAACACAAACCGGAAATGCAATAATGCAAAGCAGCGCGAGGAACACAAACATATACGGTTTTCTTAAGAAAAATAGATGTCGTGTGGGAGTTAGTTGTTGTGGTCTTAGTCATGAGAAGTCTTAAAAAGGTAACTAGCTGTCATGTATATATTATCCATTGTAAAGTTTATTTTTTTGGGTTGTATTTTCAAGTAATTGAAAAAGACAAAATGTACGTCATCTTCGTAGTCAGAAATACAAAATATGTCGTCAATGTGACGTCTGAAAAATAGTATGTTAGGTCTGTTATAATACTTCATTCAGTTCTTTCTAGAGTGTCTCATAAAATGATTGGTAAGTAAATAATTATGCATGACTAATCTATACTTCCGTTTTTAACACATAACAAACTATATATTGTCTTGTATCTATGTAAACCTCTTATTCACTTCGCACAAAAGAAGTTAAGTGTGCCGAAATATATTTACTACTGTTATATTACTAATACGAATATTTTAATGTGTATTATATGTGTAATTATAAATATATCTTTTTCATTGGCCTAATAATTAAATGTATTATATTTATAGTATAACTTACGAATACACTGTTTACCATCTCCAGTGTAGCCAACAATACATTTACAGGTATATTTCCCAGGAGATGTGTCTGTGCATTTGGCAAAAGAAGGATGGCAGTCGTCTTTTTGAGAAGCACATATGAAAGAAACTACAATCAAAAGAATCACGAGAATTGTTTGAAATATACATTAATTTGGACAATATAAATTAGGTTTCAAACTCATTATAGGTTTTGTTAGTTCTCGCAAGATTATTGTGTTAGTTTCATTCAGCATTGCATGAACATTTCAACGAATCAACTAAAAGTAACAAAATTTTTGTTGATTGCAGTGGTGTGGGAATTACTGTATTCTCAAAAACTGAAAATGTTAAAGGTAAAAATTTAAGTAGAGGAGATTTTAGCTAAAGAGAAATAATTGAAGGACATATTTTTTAATATAGGCGTAAATAAAAACAGTGTATGATGCATTTACCATTAAACAGCTTGTTGATCAATTCCATGGTTATTTTATTTAAGTCTTTAAAATTTTTTGGAAAGAAGGCGTTCTCTTCATCTTTCACCATATCTTTAACTTGTCTATAACCTCGAGAATTCTCTTCTAAGCCGATGCCCACAGCAAAGATATTTAAATTTCTACGTTTAAAGAATGGCTGCATTGCTTCTCTGACGTATTTGTATCCACTACGACGCGAATGTATTGTCTGTTCACCATCGGTAACGACCATAAAAAATTTTGTAACGTCTGGATCATCTTCCCGATACCCAGCAGATTTCACAACTACCTGAGTGTCAGCTACAGCCAAGCCATGATGGGTCTTTGTTCGTCCTCTTATTAGTGGTCCAGGCATATTTTTTACAACACTTCTAAACCTCCCCGGCCTCTGACTGCTCTTTAATGTTAGCTCTACTTTGCCATATTCACTAAATGTGACGATAGCCGCTTGACCAATTATTTTCCCTGAACTATCGTGCTCACCAACCCTCAATCTTTCTCCAATAGAAACAAGAAACTGTCGCACCAACTCAAAGTCCCATGGGCGAATACTACCAGATCTATCGAGCACGAATATTATATCACTCTTGGCACTAAAAAGTGAAAAAACTAATTTACTAAGTACCTAACTATACATGTATAATAAATATAAATCTACAAGAGAAATTCTTAATATATTTTCACGGTATGCATTATTCATAGTACATTATGTATAGTTTAAGCGAGTGTTCCACCACATGTACAAGAGTTGCAATTGCAGTTTGGTGATAATACGGATAAATAATTGAAGATTTTGCTCGTTACTGTAACTGGATTGCATTGAAAATTTAATTTAAAAAAAATAATAAATTTGCAAATTGCTCGCCATAATTTGCAAAGTTATATTTCAACAAACCTCTTTCAAAAAGATATCTTCATTGTTATCTTTTAAAAGAAAAATAAATTTGACTAAAATATACAAAATATATTTGTCTGGATTTTCGTCAAAATGTCAAATGTATTACAAAAATAACTTCAACAATATTTATCGGTGTCTATAGCCTGTTTCAATGGGCTTTGTCTGCGTTCATTTAATCAATTAATAAGCCCTTAATAACCGAGCCCGTAGTGCAAGGTTTATACAAAAAGCCCGAGGTCTGACATTTCTCATTAAATACCGAGAAAGTGTGGTCATTAAAAGCTATGAAAGGCAAAAAAATAATAGACACTTCCAATAGGAGTGAAAATTATTAGATCCTCCCCAAATACGTTTTATTTTAAATGTTCCTCATGAGGAAATTCTTTCGTTCGTGCGTCGATTTTTAGTAACATGTGACAGTATTATTTAATTTATCATTTAAAACCAAATCTCATGAAAGTTTGCACTAAATATTTTGTTTTCCTGTTACGTTTTTCGTCCACGGAAGCGCACTAATGTGTTTTGGGTAAAAATGCATTTCCAAAACTGATCTTTGTTTAACATTTTATTTGCTTTTTCATGTCATACAAAGCTTGTACGTATCTTGCGAACTAATAAATATTTGCTACTTTGGAGCAAAAACGCTTTAATTTTTGTCATGTTTAAAAGGTATGACTTAAAAAATTTAGTACTTAAATTATTGTTTTATTTAATAGAACTTTGAAAATGACAGTCTATTTTATAAAACAGTTCGTGCATATCTCTTTTCATTCTCAAACATTGAAGTTCTTGCAATGTCCAATCTACACAACTTTCTTCGTCACTTTGCATAATGAGTCGCTGCTAAGTTTCGAACATCTTTTATATTCAAGTCTACTTTTGGCTAAATTGATCATGTAACTGTTTATACCATTAACTCTTCACAGAGAAGGAACTCTGCTCGGTTGAGGTAACATATCGGAAAATATCCTTGCTATTTCTAATTCTCGTCATGCAAATTGACGTAGAAAGTTGTGTAGATAGGATATTAGAAAAACTTCAATATTTCGAGAATGAAAATAGATGTGCACAAACTGTTTAAGAAAATACATTGCCATTTTCAAAGTTCTGTTAAATGAAACTACAATTTAAGCAGTAAATTTTTTTAGTTATATGCCATTTAAAGACATACGAGAACAAACTACTATAGCAAAATACCTTCTAGTTATAATTAGATATTGCTTCCTTTACAAAATTTATTTGTCGAAAAATTGTGTATACTTGATGTAAAGTTTCATTAAAAAAAATTTTTGTTCGCAAAATAAAAACAAAAAAGGATTTTTGATTTGTGTTCAGAGGTTCATAGTTAGTACAAGTTATTTTTTATTTCCTTTCTACTGGCCGTGTGTTTACATCTTGTGGAAAGACTGGGTGCTGCTGACATCAAAATATCGATTAAGGTAGCCTTCATCTCTTGCTTTAATCGATTTAGTTCAATGCTCTAGCCAGAAAAATCGTGCAATTAAGTTGTCTACGTGATTTAGGATTTCAAATATTAATAATAAACATGAAAAATTTCTAAATTCTGATTGATTATGAGCAGTGCAATTTATCGTAAAAACCAGTGTAAAAAAGTAAAACAAAGTGCAAAAAAAGAAATACAGTGCAATTTATTTCTAAAAAATTCCCTACTGATTGGTTAGTCAAACAAAGAAATAACCAATCAAATTAAAACATTTCCAAAGCGGGAAAGTTAAATTATTGTATACAAAGCAATAACAACGAATGGCGTAAGTTTTAAGTAAATTTTCTTTAGCGAAGCAGTTTACAGTTCACAGTTTTCAAGATGTTTCTGGATGAAAATAACAACACTGCTAAAAGTAGATACCTTGTTCTAGCTGCGTGTGCGGAAGCCTGGTCTTGGAAACAGTAATACCAACGGAATTGAAAATACGAGCCGGTCGATCGATGGTTAAACTCGCCGGCTGAATTAGTTTACGCACGCTGAATTTAAACACCAACAAAAGTGAGAAATCTTTTTATGTATATTATCTATAAGCAATAGCATGGTTTCTCGTGCAATTTGGGAAAAGATCCACTCCTGAATTTTTCAAAGACTTCAAATTACACTCGTCCACCATGCAATTACCTATACAAATATTTTATACCTGAACAGAAATTGCATTTTCCTTTGTATCCTTTCGCGCATGTGCATTCCAAAGCTCCATTTATTTTAAAATAGTATGAATTGGGACCATATTTGGGAAAGTCAAACGTCTTTATTGCTATACAATTGAAATTAAAACATTTATTAAGCAAAACTTTCAGCCAGATTCTGTTATGATCTCAGAAGCACCAGGTTGATTGTGCATTTAAAATAAACGACAAAACTTTTTATCATAAAAATGTTTCCATATATATTAAGTCATTTTTAGTACAGAAATGATTTGAATATTTACCATGCTAAATTTATAATAGGATACATTGTACGTCGCAATTAATAAACAGGAAAAGAATAAGGTGTACATGTCATAATTGATAATGGATAGTGGTATATGATACAAAATGAAACATGTTTATGATAAAAAAATTTGTTGTTTATTTTAAATGCAGTCTTTATTACCATAAAGTACTTTATGGAAAGAACCGTCCCTGAATCGTATATTGAGTCGTGGAGGTGGGATGCTTATTCATATATTCAAATATTCCCCACTGATTTCTTTTGAATGTTTGATTTATTAATAGTTTAAGTGAATTCCTTTCAAAAAAATCAGTAGGGCAAAACTGAATATATGAAAAAAATACCTCTTTCTGTTGATGTTCTAGGAACGCCCTGATTACGCCTTAACTGGAAAAATATCTTTTGGATGTTTTATGCTTATAGTCCATGAGACAGAGAATTTTTATGAATTTTTTAGAGACTAATTTCCATGTTGATATTATTGTATTATTGTTGTAGATGATATACTTTAACACGAATTCAAACGTTGTTTTTCAATTTTTTGTATGACAATGTAAACAGACATTTCATTTAAATTTAGCATCAGTTAAATTTATAGAGGAAATGGTGGCAAAAGAGAAAGGGCGCAATTTTTTGTTCTGAGTATAACTGATTTCTATGGATGATATTTCGTGAACTTTGTAGTTGCTTAATATTCAACAAATAATAAACGAAGCAAATTTAAGCGAATTGTTCCAAACACAGAAAATTTAAAACACACCAAGACATTTTTTGATAGCCTAGTCACCGACAAACAACGTCGTTCGAGTAATGCAGGTATGCTTGTTACTACATGCCTATGCTCAAACATTTGTGTACATAACATGCATGCTCTTAGTATTCCATTTGGCCTGAATATTACAAAGTAAAGTCCTTGTCTGCATAAGGGTAAAGTGTGAATTTTTTCTAAGCATACTAAGAAATTAATCAAGCGTGCTCTAGCATAACCATATCACCACACTAAGCAGCAGAATTGTTTGTTTTATCAAACACTTCATAATATTCAGACAAAAACAATAACATTATAATATGGAAAGAGATCCAAAAAAAGAGATAATTAAGGTTATTAGTTTCTAGTTCATCTCCCACCTGCTTCAATTCAACTCACTGTATTTTAGGTTTTGTCGTGATAACAGGTCAAGGACTGTTCCCTATGGAGCAACTGATAATACTGTGGTATGATTTGAGTTATTACTTTACTGCCAGTAATTATGTTGATAAGTCTTAATAAAAAGTAGTTGAAAAAAATAATCAGTAGATCACGTCTACCAAAAAGAACATGAAATTCAACAATAGGCCTTCGTGTGCAACATAATAAAAAATTTTTGATTGTGAATCTTTGATTTCTCTTATCAGCCCTGCACTGATGTGAACTAGTAATTAAACAAATAACTTTTATAAACAGACGTTTGCCTTTGGTAAACTTGGGCGGATCAAGAAAGTAACTATATGAACATGTCTCAACAAGGATTACTGCAATATAAAAGGAAGAATAGTTTAAAAACAAAAACTTCTCTTCGCATCACCATAGAGAAACAAAGCTTTTGTTCGTTTATACATCGAGATGTCTTTTAACCTGTTATAATTTCTAAAAATGTTAATGAGTCAGCAATATGTTTTCACAACAGGGATGCCTGTTCAAGATCTTAACAGTTTTTATACGTTTTCTGCTTTACCCCATAGGATATCTAAAAATGATCATTGAACGAGAAGCTCTTCGCTCTAATGCTTTGAGATGTGCTATAAGTCCAGTTCATAGATCTAATTTACTGAAGTAATATAAACTAAATGAAGTTAACATTTCCCCCTTGTTTCTAAATGTTATTTTAGTTAGTACTGCTCGAGCAAAGTGGAATTGTACTTGGATTTTGTTAAGTACTATAAGGGTAATAGCCATCGTTGAATGAGTACAACAATGTTCTATGTTGATAACATTCGACTCCCAATTGTTTGATTGAACTAAAGATACATATTAATATAAGACAGGAGTCCTATATATCCCTAGAAATGGTTTGTTGTATTTTAAACTGATTGGATCAATTTGCTTCGTTTAATATGTGTCATATATTTGATAACAATTGCATAGTACACAAACCGTCCATATTAATGAATTATATTCAGGTCAAAAAAAACGACAAAGAAAAGGCATGTTTATATAGTCATGCAAGAAAAAAATGACAAAATAGCATTCGAATTTTTCAGACACGTGTAGCTTCAAACAAGAAAAGAGTTTTGTTTTTGAATTTTTTGGAATTCACTGTGTTAACTAGCTCTAACATGTATCTAGCAATTTAAGAAGAATGAAGAGTAATGATTTTGCAGCTTACCTTTTGATTCTTGAATAGAATGGCTAACAAGAGCAAAACCATGATAACTTATGTTTGGAGGAACTGCAAATTTACGAATCAGTCGTAGATCAGTGACGTTACGTATACTTATAACGTCTTTTCTCTCCATCATGTAGATAAAACTTCCAAAATACTTTGGTGAGTTTCTAGATGTCGTAAGGATCATATTTTGTGCGTGATAATCGCAAGAAAACACTTCTCCATTGGTAACTCTCCAATACAACTTCTTTTTGGTTGTGTCAAGTGATAAATCATGTGGTAGTAAATCAAGACGAATTGATGAAATCAAACGCTTATTTGAAGCTGTGCTACATATCCAAATGGAACGTTCTTTACTCTCTGCCATGAAGAGAAACCTTAAAAAATAGATTATAAAAAACGTTTTATTTATTTACCAATAAGTACACGTAAATATACTAGTTACAGACTTTATTGGAAGCCCAAGTCGCTGCTCTATTGTAAGGGAAGTATCAAAATATTTTTTCAATCTCAGATTGAATGAAAGTAATATTTTTAATCAACTTATCCTTAATATTTTCGAAAATGCAAATCAACTTATTTCATACTTTCTCTTAATGCTTAAAAGTAGAATATGAAAAATGAGTTTTTAAAGACTTTGTCGTGTTGACAACTTTAAAAATTGTTTAAGAAAGAGCTAATACCACAGTGAATGGTCAAAACAATACCATAATAGTTCTTAAAAGAAGTGTTCGAAAGAAGAACACTAACCCAACATTTATAAAGAGAATTTTAAAATAATTGTATTTAATGCTGAATGGCCCTATGTATTTTCGCACACTACTTAGCTATCAGGTATCAAAGTCTCCTGAATGAGAGCTTTAAGCTCATGCAATATTTATAATGTTAAGAAAAAGTGAACGTCATCTCTAAATTGAGAGATGACCCTTAAAACAGGGATGAATTAAACACGTAATCATTTTGTCGAAGAAGAACGGGATTATTCTATGACGCTAAACTGAATTAACGAGGGGCATTCTTCATTAACGCTAAAATTATGGTAAAAATACGAATTGACACAGTGAGTGTCACTGAAAAAATGCTTCCTAGTCCCTGAATTACATCAAATCAAATTTTCTCTCCTACGATTAAGTTTTGGTTGTAGTCGTAAAGAAACACTTTTTATTCCTGATAGAAGTTGGTACAATTTATTTAATATTATCACTCAACCTTTGAAAAGTTCTACCTACATAGGAATTATCGCAGTCCCATTTGAACTCATAGAGTAACGTAATCCAATAAGTTCAAAGGTGAGTTTGATGGTCCTCATTAAAATTTGATTTCATGTGAATCAAGTATTGGAAACATCTTTTAAGTAAACACTCAGTGAGCCAATTAATATTCTAAAGTATTAAAAATGTCGCTCATTATTTCAGTTACGCATTGTGGAGTTTGTATATATTGAGTTTACTAATCCCATCTTCTGTCAGGATTAGTAAACTTAATTATTATATGGCAATCGTCACTTCCGGAAAAATGTTGCGCTTTAATTGGCTCAGAAATATTTTCGCCTGTTCATTATTTTCCCGTTATCTACCACGGTCCAAAATGTGTATTTTAAAGGCCAAATGTAAACAAACTTCCTAAAAGCAAACAGCAAAACAAAAAAAAACTATTTGCAAATGTGTGTCGAAAATTTGAGAGACTATATGGACATTACAATTTGAAAGAATTTCTTTTTCACTGACAAAAAACTGCAATATTATAAACCTGTTAATAACTTCGATTTCTACGTCTTTACTGAGAAATATCAGACCGAGGTCTGTTTATACAAGGTTATCAGTAATGCTATTTGCTTTTTCAGTGATTTGCTTACATTTTTGATGGAAAAAAATTAGAATGCACTAATTGCTAAAATTTTAAGAAAAAGGAGTATTGGAACTCCACTCAGAAATCAACATTGGCGCATATAAAAGATTTAACCATTTGCTGTTATTCGGTACAATATTTCTGCACAATTTAAAAAATGAAGGAAGAATAGCTCGCAGATCGAAATAAATACGTCGAAATAAATTAGTGCAGTACATTTTGGCGTATATTTTCATTTCTAAGCACCTTTGAGGCAAATCTATTTGTAAAATTATATTCTTTAGAAATAAAATCCAATAGTGTTTTTTAATTTAATTAAAATGCGAAATTGAGGAGCTATAATTTATATTGGTATTTCCTGCTCCGCCACTGGAATAGCTGACAAAAGTTTGAATTTTGGTGTAATTTGACGCCATATTGATGCAGAGGCTGCTCATTTAGTGGCTTGAATTTGTGACGTCATTGCGTTATTCCAATGGCAAATTCGATTGTTTTTATTAGTACATTATAAGAATTCAAAAGCGAAGATGAGCAAAATATTTAAAAATTTTTCGAAGAAAGTTCCTTGAGCTGTTTGGCTGAGTTTTGATGAGGTTATTGATGATAGTCGGCAGAAAAATGAAATTCTTGCCTACTATTATGAACTAATACGAGTTACTACAATTCAAGTCGTCTGGTCTGAGTGGTCTTTTAAGCCAGAACACGACAATCACTATATTGATCGTTGCCGGAAGTTATTGATAAGTGATGATTGAAAATTCACTTTATGTGTAAATTTGCTGCTACATACGGTGGCCCATAAGGGACACGACCAGTTTCTCCGTAGAAATCGAGCTTCTCCGTAGAAATCGAGCTTCTCCGTAGAAATCGACCTTCTCCGTAGAAATCGACTTTCTCCGTAGAAATCGACCTTCTCCGTAGAAATCGACCTTCTCCGTAGAAATAGACCTTCTCCGTAGAAATAGACCTTCTCCGTAGAAATAGACCTTCTCCGTAGAAATAGACCTTCTCCGTAGAAATAGACCTTCTCCGTAGAAATAACTACCGTGAAATTGGCACCACATTTGCACCACATTCAACACAACATTCATCACAACATTCATCACCACATTCAACTAAAATTTATCATTCAAATGATAAATCGAAAAATCGTCTTTAAAACACGTTTTCCATCAAATACAACAGTAAAAAACAATTCTTAACTGTTTATTACTATTTTACTGTTCTTAACCATCACAAAAAATGTATAAAAGTCAAGAAATTGAAGAAAACACTAAACTTTAGGTTACAGTGTACTTTTCATTTCCCTTAATTAGCGTATAATTTAAAAACTACAAGGTAGAATTTTTTTAAACTTGGCCATATTGTAGATATTTTTATTGCCTAAAATATATCCAAAATCTGGAGAGTGCACAAAAAAATAAGTTGTAGAAAATCATCGACATAGTTAGGTCACACGAATGCGCGTAATATGATCTTATATAATTAAGTTAAGAATTTCAAGTCATTGCTAAACAAAGGCCTGTAAATAAAAAACTACACGGTAGAATTGTTTTAAACTTGGCCATATTGTAAATATTCTTATTGTCTATAACATATCCAAAATCTGGAGAGTGCACAAAAATATAAAAGGAATAATATTCCTTGAGAATGTACTCTGGTATAAACTGTGAAGTTGGCACCACATTCGACAAACTGCTCTATAGCTAAAAACTACACGGTAGAATTTTTTAAACTCAATTATATTATAGAATTTTATATTGTCTAAAATATACCCAAAATTTGGAAAGTGCACAAAAATATAAATGATAGAAAAACATCGACAAATTTGGATGACTCAAATGCGCGTAGTATAATATAATTCTCGATTTAATTATATAAGATCATATTACGCGCATTCTTGTCACCTAACTATGTCGATGATTATGTACAACTTATTTTTTTGTGCACTCTCCAGATTTTCGATATATTTTAGACAATATAAATATCTACAATATGGCCAAGTTTAAAAAAATTCTACCTTGTAGTTTTTAAATTATACGCTAATTAAGGGAAATGAAAAGTACACTGTAACCTAAAGCTTAGTGTTTTCTTCAATTTTTTTAACTTTTATACTTTCTTTGTGATGGTTAAGAACAGTAAAATAGTAATAAACAGTTAAGAATTGTTTTTTACTGTTGTATTTGATGGAAAACGTGTTTTAAAGACGATTTTTCGATTTATCATTTTGAATGATAAATTTTAGTTGAATGTGGTGATGAATGTTGTGATGAATGTTGTGTTGAATGTGGTCCAATTGTGGTGCCAATTTCACGGTAGTTATTTCTACGGAGAAGGTCTATTTCTACGGAGAAGGTCTATTTCTACGGAGAAGGTCGATTTCTACGGAGAAGGTCTATTTCCACGGAGAAGGTCGATTTCCACGGAGAAGGTCTATTTCCACGGAGAAGGTCTATTTCCACGGAGAAGGTCTATTTCTACAGAGAAAGTCGATTTCTACGGAGAAGGTCGATTTCTACGGAGAAACTGGACGTAAGTTTTTTATAAAGAAGTCGTGTCCCTTATGGGCCACCGTAGCTACATATCAGCCTAAATCGATATATTTCTCAGAATGCTTTGTATGAGCTAGCAATGCGTACGATAGTCATAAACATAAATTACTACGACACATAGCTTATTTGAAAGAATGTTATATGCAGTGCGGTGTTTGAAATTAAATGAAGATATGAACTTCGCACTTTGCTGGAAAATATAAGCAATTGTCTCATGAACCTGAAAAGTTCAGGTGACTCAACGGGATTCGAACCCATGACCTCTGCGGTGCCGGTGCAGTGCTCTGACCAACTGAGCTATGAAGTCACACAGTGGAGAGCAGGTCAATTTTGGAGAGTTGAGCTCATGTTTTCTCGTGAAAGGAATGTCATATGAAAGAATGTTATATGCAGTGCAGTGTTTGAAATTAACTGCACCGGCACCGCAGAGGTCATGGGTTCGAATCCCGTTGAGTCACCTGAATTTTTCAGGTTCATGAGACAATTGGTTAAATTGTCCAGCCAAGTGCGAAGATCATAGCTTATTGTTAGCTTATACAATGGTAATGGGAAGCGAGTCGTCATTTCCCAGTCAAATAGTAGGCACATCATTCGTATCTCAATTCATTTTGGTGCTCTTTTTTGTTCTTTTTAAGACCAAACGATTCAAAACTGTATAGCAACTCAACTTCTTATAGCTTAAATATTTAGGCAAGAATTTCACTTGCTGGCCGACTATCAGCGATAAATCTATCAAGACGCTCACCGAAAGAGCTTTATGAACTTTCTTCTTTAACATTGTAAATATTTTGCCCATCTTCGCTTTTAATTCATATAATGTATTAAAAAACAATTGAGTTTGCCTTTCGAATAACACATGACATCACCTAAACGCTGAAAGAACTGCGTCTGCATCAATATGGCGTCAAATTGAATAAAATGCAAACATTTGTGAGCTACTTCTTCTTTATTTTCAACAATTAAGCAGAAATCTCTTACTGAATAACCACAGATAGAATAATCTTTTATATGACCCAATTTTTATTTTTGAGTGGAGATCCACCTTCACTTTGGAGTATTATAGCTTTAAAACTAACAGATTCGTGTAAAGCAACCGTTCTATTTTGAATATTTGGATGGTTTTTTTTTGAATTTCAATCTATTATTTATGAATTTCAATCTATCTACAGTGGAAATAGCACCATAAAAATTGTAAATTATGCTCTGACTGCCATTGCGTGTGTTTGCAGAAGGCCATCGACACTCAAAAATTTCAATTGCGTAGCAAGCCTTTTTATTGTCTCAGAAGAAAGACAAATAGGAACGTGTATGACTTATGAATGTATCTCGAGCTAAAAAGCGCATAAATAGCTACAGCTTAGATGTATGCATGTAGATGCAGGCCATCCAAACACAAAAAAACAAATTAATTGAATTAATTGCTTAATATTAATTTATATTCCAGTTTTGAAAATACTTCAAGTGCTAATGAAGAGAAATTTTTATATTTCGTTTTTTTGACACAAGCGCTTTCTCTGCATTTTAGCTACTGATCATTTTCGTCAACGGGAACGCATTGAAATTTGTGTTCAAACATGGCATTCTCACTTCAGTAGCACTTTAATAATAATGATTTTATGACGTTCAAACGACGTAATTTTTTATCACTAAAGTCTTTGTTTTTGGAATTAAAGTAAAGAAAAAATCCTTACCCTTTTAATGGATCTGTTGTTATTTCGTAAAATTTTATACCATGTGTAAGCTTCATAATGCTTGTCTTCTTATCGTGGAAAGTAATTTGGTGAATAAGATTGTTTGACTGTACGTAGAAAATACGACGGCCAATCCAGTCAACAGCTATATCATGAGCACTAGCATTTTTGGCAAAAATCTCAAGATCAGTAATATCAAAGTTCATTCGTTTAATGTCGTTCTCATGAATGAAGTAAATTTTATTCTCAGTCACGTCAATCTCGATGTTATCATGGCTAGAGTTTGTTGCAGAAGAATCGTTTTTGGAGTCATCGATGACCCTAACAAGACTATCGCCCGTTAGAATATCAACAGCGTAGATTTTGTTAAAAGATGAGAGAATCATGAACTTCTCCGGATAAGCACCTGCATAAAAATAACACACCATAATAAGCAAGACTTATATTCCTAAAATAGCAAAAAGAGCATCTTGAATTAGTTAAATTTTCTCATAAAGCATAGTTTGATATGAGTGCACATATTAGCCTAGGTAATAAGTATTAATTAGAAAAGGTCACATATGTCTAATCAAAAATATTTTACAATACGCAAATCCTTTGTAAGCAACGTTGTCAACACTCGCTACAAAATTAACGCCATATACTCATTAGTAATTAACTTTTGAGAAAATTTTTGACCAATACAACGTCACGTATACGTATACGTTACTTCTTAAAAACACGTGATATTTAACATACGATGAATATCGTAAGTTCTGAATACAAATTGAATTCATGTTTAAGAAAAATTTTTTGTTCAACCATACTCACAGAAAACCTTTCATGAACTAATGACTTTACTTATCTATTTTTGTTTGACGAGAACTATCTTCATGTAAATATTGAGTAAGACGCACTTAAGTTTCGTTAAGCAGCAATTATTTTATCTAATATTTTATTCTTAGTTCAAGATGGAACCATTAAATAATTTATAAGTTTTCCAATGCTGATACACTTCACCTATAGCCTAGAATAAAAAGCTGTGACAAAGCATGTTAGCAAATTTGATGTTCTATTTAAAGGAAAGAGTTTCATAAGTTTTGTGTGATAATGCAGTAAAAATAATAATTATCAAGAATTAAGGTTTCTACCATGCTTTTTATCTGTGCGTTTAAATCACCAAATATTTCTTATTCTGTTAAGCATTTTTAAGTTATCTTTTATTTTCTATGCATCATTGTCATTTTTTTATGTGTCTTATGATGTTCTTTCTAACCATGTAGTAAAAGTCAGTTTTTGATCAGAATTTTACATTTTTTTATAGGCACCTGGTCTAAATTTGAAAAAGTATTTCATGCTCATTTTATATTTTCCACAAAAGATCAGGCAAGTCGTTTGATTGTCAACTTCTTTACTTCATTCGCACCAACACATTAAGAAAATTTTGATTATACTCTTCTGTTTATGTAGTATGTAGAAAAAGGTTGTTTTAAGTAGTACGAAGAAATAAACATTTCAAACAATATTTTAGAATATGCTTTTGTACTTTACTTATTGTTATGTGCTATTTCAAGAGACACATCACCTTCGTAAAAACACATTTCTATTTGTATTTGCATCACTTCTTTGTTATATTGTTTTTCTTCGTTGCAGACAGCTCTGCTAATTTCATTGCCGTTTTTTTCAACGCAGTTATCTTTCCAGTTTTTCACGTCTTTTTTTAGTGCATTTAATCTTTCCTTGCATGAAGAAATCTGACTATTACCAGCCACCATTTTTCCATCAAGTAAGAGGAAGACAAGGATACTGAAGGCCATTGATATTAATTTTCTTTCCTGTTGGATGACAATGGTTATTTACTAAATTTGATTGTTTTTCTGGTGCGCTGATTATCAACTTTTGATATTTCTTACAAGTATGTTCACTTACACAAGCTCAATGAAGACCAAATAAGATTATTTTATTATATTTTTTCTATAGATGTTAAAGTTATCCTGCTTTACCAAGGCTACTTACTACTGTAAAAAAAGTAGACGTACGAAGAACAACAAGAGTCTATCAGTATCATCAGCCCTCTTAATACTGGAGACAACAATACTGTCTAATTGAAAATGTTGTCTTGGACGATAAAAAATAGATTTAGATTTAAGGGTGTGAAGTCGAAGACGACCTAAATATGGCGTAATCATTAAGTTATATAAGACTTGGGGGGATCAAGGGACCTTCACACAGTTGTCAAAAACATGGCGGTAAAGCGGATTTTGGTTGTCAAACCTTCCAGTTTTAGAAATATTTTAATATTTGCTCCCTTGAAAATTTCTAATTTGAGCAAGATATTAGAAATTTGATTGTTTTTGAACTATTTGGTACAACCATGGATCTAATACTGAACAGAACTATATATTAAGTTTTTATTGAAAATACAATTTCTGAAATTAAAGTACATTGGTTTCTCTGACATAACTCTTTTGTTTATCGCTATAAGAGGACAAACCTGTTTAAATATATATAATGTAGGCGAAGATATTTAACATGTTATATAATTTTTATTGTACAGTTTTTACTTATAATATTATTGCCTTGTGAAATGCATGTCAAGAAGAATATATAAACTCTTAAAATGCTAACCTTCTTGCCCTATTTTTCCCTGTACTTGCCCTTACAAATTACAGTTAACAATACCAATTTTTTCTAAGTTCAAACAGCTTGGCAAATCTTTGAATTTTACATCACGTCTGTGAATATTTCCTTTTGTCACTTGGTAAAACTATTAGTGAAGAACTTACAAATAAAGTTTATCTAAAATAGTATTTTGTTCAGAAAAACTAAACATAATTGGAAAAGTTTTATGTTGAAGACAGACGTTGCTTCTTTTACTGCATTGCTTATTCACATGTACGTAGGCGACACTTAGCAAAATATGTTTGTAAATGATGATCGTCCAGGTTAATAAAGTGCTGAGAAGGACTGTTTTTGTTGTTGTTGACAGACGTTTCGACAACCATAGCGGTAGTCATCTTCAGAGTCAAATGAGGAGTAAACGTCAGGTTAGCCGTATTTGTTGTCTGGTTCTTACGTCATTGTATTGTGTGTACAGGAAATGTGTATTGTCATTGTGGATTAGTGTGAAGTGAAATATTTTAGTTGTGATGTGTGATTTAGGTGTGACGTTTTTAGTTGTAATGTGTGGGTGTCAATTGTGTATTGTCATTGTGAATTAGTTTGAAGTGTAATGTTTTAGTTGATCGTTTGTTTGTATTGTGAATAAGTCGTTTGTAAGGTGCCGGTAATTGCTGTGATCTGTTCAGGGGGGTTTGTTCCAAGTTGGTATACCAACTTTCTAATGTAAGCCGTTGTCTATAGTCAGTACTGTAAGTGATGCATTTTGCCGAGTCCCAGTCAATGTTGTGCTTTGTGATTCGGTGATGTTCGGCAATGTGATTAGTTTTGTCTTGTTTCTTAGTAGCTCGTTTGTGCTCAGTAAGTCTTATGTTTAAGTTCCTGCTAGTTTCCCCGATATAGGAGGCGTGGCAGTCGGAGCAGTATATTTTGTAAACTGCACCTTGTCGTTCGTTGGGTTGTTCTTTGTCCTTTATTTTCGTTAGTACTTGTCGTAACGTTGTGATTGGTTTATGTGCGACACGTATGTTGTATGGTCGTAAGATACGCGAGATAGTCTCTGACGTACCTTTGATGTAAGGTATCGTTGCTGTTGTCACTGAGTTGTTCGTTTTGTTGGGTTCGTTGGGTTTGTAAGTGTTGCGTTTGATAAAGTCAGAGTTATAGTTGTTTTTGTCAAAAACACGTTTGAGATAGTTGTTTTCGTTTTATAGTGCGTACGGTGAATCACATATGATTTGTGCACGTCTTGTTAATGTTCTGATTGTGGTGGCTTTGTGTGCTGTAGGGTTGTAAGATGATTGGTCTAGTAGTCGGTCAGTATGTGTTGGCTTGCGATAAACTGTTGTTCGCAGTTTTTGATTGTCATGTTTTACTAAACAGTCGAGAAAAGGAAGAGTTCCGTTTTCTTCAACATCTTTGGTAAATTGTATGTGGCTGTTCTGTTTGTTGATGTGAGTATGAAAGTCATTAATGTCGTCTGCATGTAGTGCCGTGATTGTGTCATCTACGTAGCGAAACCAAAAAGGTAGTGCATGTTTGTAAGTCGTGAGCGCCCGTTCCTCTATAGATTGCATTACAATTTCAGCAACAACAACAGAAACGGGCGAGCCCATTGCTGTCCCATGTAATTGTTTGTAGTGTGTTCCTTTGTATTGGAAGTAAGTCGAGCTGAGGCAGAGCTCCAGTAACTCCATAATGTCTTCTGTCGGTAATGGCAGTTCGTCCGTGGTGTTTGTAAGGACGGTTTTTGTACACGTAAGTGCCAGATTAAGTGGAATACTGGTGAACAGTGATTTCACATCAAAAGACACTAGTATATAGTTGTCCGGTATTTGTATAGTGCACAGTTTTTTAATGAAAGTTTCAGTGGATTGTAGCTTGTGTTTTGATTTGTTTGTAAGTGGTTGCAGTATGTTAGTCAAGTACTTTGAAAGTTCTTAAGTAGGCGAACTACAGAATGATACAATTGGTCGCATGGGTATTTGTGGTTTGTGAAGTTTTGGTAGTCCGTATAGTCTGGGTGGTCGTGGTACTGAACATCTGAGTCGATAGTAAATACGTTCAGATATAATGTTAGATTTTCTCATATAGAAGATCTTGCTGTTAAGTTTGCGTACTAGTGATGGTGTTGGGTCTCGTTTGAGTTGTTCGTACGTTTGTCTGTCGTTAACAAGGGTGTCCATTTTGTTAAAGTAATCATTCCTTCCATGACCACAGTCACGCGTCCTTTGTCTGCTGGTAAAATGACGATGTTGTTGTCGTGTTTTAGTCGTTTGAGTCCTTGTTGTTCGTCTTTTGTCAAGTTGTTGTCACGTATAGAGGACGATTGTAAAGTGGAGGCTATCCTGCTTCTGATCCCGTCCTTGGTTGTCTCTTACAAGTCTCTTTGATACGCTAGGACAGCCTCGACACTTGATACTATCGTCTCAGTCGGGATTTGTCTAGGTGTTATGAAATGTTTTAGTCCGCAAGATAGTAGTCGCGTTTCAGTTTTCAACTATAACTCTGACTTTATCAAACGCAACACTTACAAACCCAACGAACCCAACGAAACGAACAACTCAGTGACAACAGCAACGATACCTTACATCAAAGGTACGTCTTAGAATATCTCGCGTATCTTACGACCATACAACATACGTGTGCTTAAACCAATAACAACGTTACGACAGTACTAACGAACATGGGACAAGAACAACAACAACAACAGGTGCAGTTATAAAATATACTGCTCCACTGCATGCCTCTATAACGGAAACTGAACAAACATAAGACACCACACAAAACTACTAAAAACAAGACAAAACTAATCACATGCCGGTGTCACCGAATCACAAAGCTGGGACTCGACAGCATCACTTCGCTACATGACACGACTTACATTAGAAAGTTGGTATACCAACTTGGAACAAACCCCTGAACAATCACAGCAATACCACCTTAACGACTTATTCGACATTCAAACAAACGATCAACTAAAACATCACTTCAAACAATTCATGACACACCATTGACACCCCCAACTAAAAACATCACACAAATCACATCTAATATTTTCTTCACACAATCCACAATGACAATACACATTTCCTGTTACACAATACAATGACGTAAGACCGAACAACACGGCTAACCTGACGTTTACTCCTCATTTGATCTGAAGATGACTACCGCTAAGGTTGTCTGTCAACTTCACAACAAACAGTCTTCTCAGCACTTTATTAACCGGACGATCATCATTTACAAACATATAATTCTCCGGGTTCAGCCATTTTGCTTAGCACAATATTAACATTAGCTCGATCATGGGCGCGTTGCAAACTCGCAAACATTTCTTCTTTGTTAGAAATTATTACATGGAACTATCTTTGATCGTCGCCGTGCTAATCTCTTTGAAATTCAAGGCATTGCCCTCTTTTTTTTTATTCTCTTCTGTAAATATAGTACTTTTCCCAGATCTCCTTCTTAATTAAGTAAATCTCATACTCCCGCGTTTTCCAATGCTAAAAGCTCATACATGCTAATATAAACAAGCAGATTGAGTCGAATTCACCAAATTCAGCATTCTACTTGGTTGCACAAGAAACATTAAAAAATTGTGAAATTGGGCAACACTTATAAATAGAATTCGCTAATCTTAATACTCAATTATTCTACTTCCAATAGGAAATAGTTTGTCGCTCGCACAAGAAATGTTTTTGAGTGTGCCGTTAGTGTCACGTACGTACATGTGACCCTTTCTTTGACAAGTTATTGTCCCTTTCTTTGACAATTTTGTTAATGCTAAAGTTTACTTTGACGATTTAGATTAGTATTATTATTGTGTGCTGTACTTAAATCATAGAAAAGTGGGCTTGCTTGCAAATTTGTAGCAAAAGTGTTCAAGAAATCGCTCAAGTTTATAAATAAATTCATTGCTATTTTAACTGAAAACGATTTTTGAGATGAGCTCTGTATCTTCAACAACTTGTCGTGAAAACGTTTTGTAAAAATCAAGTTTTCTCACCACAATTCGAACAGAAGTTTACTTTCATGTGAACAAACCATATTGACAAGAAAATATTCGTTAACATATAGATAATTTTAAAGATAAATTCTTTGCCATTTTTATAAGAGAACATTTTTTGAGAGAAATACTAATAATTTATAAATTGAAAGTGTTTTAACTTCCGAATGAACAGACAAAACTGACATTTGAAAAGACAATATCTCACAGCTGTAGCTGTGTATACTATTTTTGTGCCTATAACTGGTTGTGCTGGTTTGTTGCTTTGATACAGTTCTATCAATTTCGTCTAGACGAGAAGTATAATTGAAGTCATGACGGCATCATCTGCAAAGTCATGTTGAGATCCTCTGCAAAGTTTATACCAGTGTAATATCTTCAGAAGTTATATCTAATTATCATAAGTAAAGTAGAAAGAAATGCTTCAATATTTACACAACGCTTTTCATATTTATTAAACATACCTTGTTTAGGTAACTTTGCCCACATTTTAGGTGGTTATTCATCCTTACACACACACCCAGTCTTATTTGTGTCATTATTTGCTTTAAAGCTGTTAAATTTTTGTTAAACATACTCATGCAAACATTCTTATGAATTCATTAATTACGATGCAATATTGCATTGTTTATGTCTTCAACATACTTGAAAATGCGCGTATCCGTCTCTGGTCTTGACATATGTACCCATTATTATAATGATGGGTAGGGATAAAGTGCGGAACCGGAATAAAGAATGTGGAACGGAAGGCAGGAAGAAGACTCCGAAATTGTTGGGGATAAAACACTGATTCCACAGTTGGGGAAAACAAAAGGAATTAGGTAAAAAGTTGACAAAAGGCATTGGTCGGATGTCGATGCAGTTCTGTCGACGGTTACAGAGCTGTGTGAAGTGCTGTGCAGCAATACGATTTTGTTTTGTTTGTGCTAACTACAGCTCTAGCCATGACATACATCTAGAGAAAGTCAAAATAAATTACTGCAGCACATTTTTGGCATAAATTTATCTTTCTAATTAGAGCCATATCCATTGGTGTGATTATGTTCTCTGGGAATTCAAAGCTAATAGTGTTTTTCTTAAAGTAATTTAAATTTAAAATTAACGACCTATAATTTATTTTGATAACGCTAGACCGCTATCATCTACATAAACAAACGTGATGATAAATTAACCTAGACTGTGCCTTAAATATTGACCCAAGTGGCATTAAATTTCACTGATGTTTGTGATACGGTCGCATCAGGTTTATTCTGATTTGCCGATAATGGGATATATGATCTAAAAGGTTTGTTGGTGTTGTTTTGTCCGATCTTCCACCATTACATCATGCTGTTGATCATTCCCAACCTTCTTTTCAACACCTTTTCCACATTCACATGCAATAAGATTTGTTAAATTTATTTTATTGGGACCGTTTCTCTTGAAACTGTCAAGATACTTTGACGTTGTTTTTTTCTCACTGACAGCCAACAAGTAAGCACACAACTTGTATGTTTTCCACTTTCCAGTTAGGGCAATTGCTATATGTTATATTACCGCATTTTTTCGTTGTAACATAATGTGGACTGACCATCGTGGTACTTTCCACCATGAATGCCGTACCATCAGGTGATCCAGGTGCGTGTGCGATTGAGTTAGTTTTAATCAAGATATTTTGCGCTTTCTGCGATATCTTGCGGCGTTGTTGAACTTATGAAAGTGACTCCTCCAAGTTAACTCCATTCAAACTCGTCTTTCTATTTGGGGTGATATCTCATTCTGACATTTTTTAAGGAAATCACCACACATGTTAGAGTTATGATATTTTGGAGAGCAAGAACCCATTTGTTGGATATTTTTTGAAAACTACTTTTGTTTTTGGAACTCCAAGTAAGCGAACTTTAGTGCCAGTCAAAATGGCCAGAGCTCAATTTTATAGATTCAACATAAAATTTCTGGCAGGATAAAATAGTGCTTATCTCCTGGAAAATTTTGTGATCCCATTCTCACTAACTTTGGCACACACAGGAATGTTATTGTAAAATAGATGAGAGTAGAGTGAAGATTGCAGATGCGGAGTGAAGAAATTTAACATGAAAAATATTTATGTTAGAAAGCAGGATCTCCTTTTTAATGGGCTCACATGATTACATTAAGCGGCCAGCAGGTGAAGCATGTGGGATGTGTTTATACTGCGCATGCTCTTTGTGTCACATCTTTACCTGAATATAACGACTAATTGAAAACAATATTTAAATTTCATGTGCATTGAAAAAATAAGCTCTAAAGTTCTAAATAAAAATACTTGTTGTCAAAACCATAAAATTTTATAATGTATCAGTCGAAACACATTTTCAATTGCCCTGAAATACAACATTTGTCCACAAAAGCAATATAATGTTGCAGACTGTCATCTGCTTGTATGAATGAAAATATAAATTAGTCGTGCTAAGTACCGTAGTTTATTGTTCAGCGCCTAGCGTCTAATCCGTCCCCCTTCCTTCTAATAATAGGATTATTAAATTGAAATATACTGGTGCAAAATGAATATTTGCTTTTTCCTCTTCATTGGATCTCACCAGATTTTCTTGTTCTCAGCAGTTTATTCAATTTGAAGCACGTATGTTGCATTATTCTTTACCAATTTTTTAGTTGTACGAACGGTATTGAGAGCTGCGGCATCAACAACGTGTCTATTATTCAGAAATAAAAAGATTCTTGCATTCTTCTGTGAAGGGGTTTCCTATTTCATCAATATTAGACGCCATTTCTCTTTTATTTTTATGAAACATTTAAATGTATGTTTGAGCTTTAGAAATGGCTTGTGACATTCTAAGATGTACACGATTTCCAAACTCATTATATTATGATACACTAATGTCAGCATTAAGCTTCTTTATTGTAAAATTTTGAGTTGAAACAAAGGGAAATTATCGAGCTTGAGTATTTGGCTCGGTGTATAATATTTCTAGCAATCTCTTAAATAGTGGAATAAACCATAGACACTTTTGATTGACAGACTGATCACGTGCTTTAACTCTCAGCGTCGAATAGTTCTGCTCTTTCCTAGCGAGTGTAAAACAATTCAGAAAACGATGGCAGGCCGTCTTGTCAATTTCATGAGATTTTCGTGCTTAGACAAGAAAGTTGCCAAAATGGCAAGCGTGCTAGTTGTAAGTAGACGTATGCATTTCGATTCTGGCAGATAATGAATAAGTTTGTAATTTAAATGTCTCCAAGTGGATAGACTGGCAATGCATTGTGGTAAAAGGAGCATTTTACTAAACAGCTCTTCAATTAGGAAGAATAAACTTCGGCTAGGCAACAAGAACTGGCAGACACACATCATCATATGACTTATTATGTTAAACACTTGGAGGTTCATAAAAGAACGTAGTCAAATGAAAAAGGTTTTAAAATGGCTTTTCTAAACATTGCTAGTCTTTCCAAAAAGATCTATGAATTTAGGTATTCTATGTCTAACAAAAATATTGACACAATTTCAAGATTGGCAAGACTGAAATGAGACATTTAACGTACGACAATTTTTTAAAAATTTTTCAATGCATATCAGTACTATCTTTACTTTTTAAATAACCCAATCACAACAATATTGTAAATAACTTTCGCATCCATCTCTTTTGTCCATACACTTGTTATGTATCATATTTTTTTATATATTAACTCTATGTAACAATTTATTCATTATACTGCACTGAAGATGGCATTAGTTTTCTGAAACATGTATGCATTATAAAATTGAAAAAAAAAGCGATGTACGGTAAATGTCTCAAAAATATTGATCTTTTATAACAGAACACAAACCACCGAAAGCAACATCTGAATAGGCGAGTTCGGAAATGATAAACAATTTAAGAAGTCTGGTAACGAATTGAACGCGCGCTTTGCGTTGTGGTACATTTGACGGGACGCCATTTTGAAGCTAAATAGAACATTGATATTGAAGTTGTATATTTAGAATGGTTTTGATAAAAAAACATATCTACATGGAAAATAATACATTAAAGGAAGAGCTGGTTACAATATTAGTTTGACAGAAGATGACGTTCCTGCTGCTAAGCTTTGTAAACCAGTTGAGCAGTGCTCTGTAGCACTGCTAAAACGACGGCTTTCTTGTCATTAAGGTATTAAAACATATGGAAATATCTTGTTGATGATGTTGAGCTTAGGAGGCAGTTAGCAACTTAAAAAACCAATTATGAAAGGTTATAACGTCTATAAGTCTGGAAACGTTAAGGAAGCAATTGGCAAAAGAGATTAAAATGTGTTTTACATGAAAAGCAAAGTTCTTCCTTAAAGGGAAAAGGGTCTATATTCAATACTAATTTTAATGGATGAAAGCTCTTGTGTGCAACAGGCATCATGCAATTGTCCAACTGGAGTTGATGGTAGATGCAACCATGCCATATTGTTTATGCTTCAATATCTTGATTGTAATGAAAACAAAAAAAACTACGACGCCAATGAAAATTCAACAATGATTCTATGCATATGAAACCTTGTACCTGGAATGTTCCTAAGAGAACTAAAAAAGCTTCACCAATACAAGAAATAAAGTTTGTCAAGAACTGTTGGGGAAAAGAAGTTCATCAGTGTAAGAGCAAGTCATTTCAGCATAAACTAATTAAAAAAGATTCAAGTTCCTTTTTGGATAAAGTGAAGAAGTTAGAAGCTCAGACTGGTATGAAGACAGGATTAAGTTCCATTCTATCTCAATGTGATTTATCAATTGAGCCAGGTTCTTGTTCTTCAAGTGAAATTGATTCCAGTACTTTACAGTTTCCTTTTTCTCGACTTTCTGTGGTTTCCCCTATCAAATATCTTCCTCTATCATTACAGGAGAAAAAATGAGAAGTGAAAGGAAAAAAACGATTGCTGGATTCATTTAATGATTGCAAATAAATAATGGAAAAGACAATTAAGACTGTGACACACGACAAGTTTCTGAGACATTTGTTTTTGAGTGTAGATTTCGTAAATTTTGTGTTTCAGAGATTTTTTGAGACTTAGTCTCCGAAATAGAAACGTGTTCTATTTTTCCGAGAAAAAAATACTTTCGGCAAATTAAAATCACATGAAACCGGACGAACTACAACATGGTGGTCAAGGACTCAAGGGGAGTTCACTGGTGAAGGGATAAAGTTGAACGTTTGGCAGAGTTGTGTGAAACTAAACCAGTATTGTATAACACAACGCTTTCTGAATATCATGATAGAGTGACAAGAAGGAATGCAATTGCGACAATAGCGAATACGTTAGAAATGAGCGGTGAGTAAATATTTTTTAATGAATTCAGATTGATAATTTTAAGTTTACCGAATCCGATTACATTCCAATACTTATAGATAAATATATATTTTGATATTAGCAAAAATGAAAAACCGGTTTCTTAAAAAAAAAGAAGTTTTTCGGTAAACCGAAAAACCGCCCCAGCCTGGTCGATAATAATTCTAAACCGATTTTTTACTTCAACCACATGATCTTTCCATACAATTGATAAAAGTTTATGTAATTAAGTCAAATCTTCCACTAAAAAAAGTGAACTAATTACACATTTTACAAATAATTTCTTTAAAAGTCATTTGTTTTCATAGTAAGCAAATAAAAATTTACATACGAGAATTGCGATGCTTCTAATGCATCCCTGAAACTGCAATTTCACCAATTAATTAGCTAATTACGTTTTCGTAACTTTTTAGTAAGGTCCAAGAGTAGCCAATGATAGCTAAATTTTACTCATATTTCAGATATTAGCTAAATTTTATGTTATTTCTCTGCAGGAATTTTGTAAAAAATTTTTGGCGTTTACAAGGAAAATGTGATGCTTACTGTGAACATAAAATTATAACTACTTGTTTTCACACAGTATTGTTTGAAATATGCAAATTAAAGGTGAAAAAATCTAAGACGTGAATTTTGGAAAAGCAATATTAGTAGCTTTTCACGCGACAACTGCAATTCTGAGAAAAGCCAAAAAGTACTTACGTTTACAGCAAATTTAGTTCCTGCAACAACCTGGGTTCCGAAGGTTTTCGCTTCAAATGCACTAAATGTTTTAGCAACTTTTAGCTCAGCTTCATATTTAACCAGACAGGCAATATAAGAGCATTTCGCATGGAATTGAAAATTATATCCGAGGATAGTATTTATGGTGTTTTTATGCACTGTTCAACTAAGTGACCACCGCTAAGATTGTCAAAACGTCAGTCAACAACAACAAAAATAGTCCTTCTCAGGACTATACTAACCTGGACGATCTACATCTAAAAACATGTAACGATACTCCCGTGCTCAAACCATTTACTTTAATACGATCATTTGGACGACAAAAACCATATCATTATACATACACCCTACATTATACGCGTATACTATGTGTCGTAAGAACATATTGAAACGCAGATCGAATTTTCTGATACAGATATGTTTGCGCCATGACATCAAACATGAAAATGACATCAATACTTCATCTTCTGGAGGTTTTCAAAGTCTTTTGTAAAATTTAATTTGTAAACTTTTATAAAATGTTTTAGAGAGTTGCTAATAAAGTGTTTGAGTCGGAAAACCGCACCTCGAAATCAAACACATCTCACAAACTTTTGTATGGTTTGACCCAACATAGGTATTTATCACAATCTATGTAAGAATATCGCTTTTCGGAGAGAATCATAGCGAGTGGAAGAGAAATATTGATAAGGTAAATTCATACACGCATTTAACACAGGATTTTAATTTCTTTGTATAAATTATCTTTCAGCTGTTAGTTTTTTTCCGACCATTTGACTATACATCAATCATAAAAATTGATTTATAAAGGCTCTATGAAGCATTCGTTTATGTCAAAGAACATACTGCTCGTGGATTGTCCTTTTATCGTTAACATTACAGAAACGAAGCAGTAACGATTGTTTATTTCGACGGTTTCTTACGTTGAAATTAATGTTGTGATAAAATATGTCTAAATTCTTCAACTAACCAATGTATTCCTTCAAATGTCTTAAAACGGAAAGCACGAGCGTTTTTTATAAGGCTCTTCTATCATGGACTGAAGCTGAATGAAAAAAACGTTGAAAATTTCCTTTATGTGTGGTCCAACAGACCAAACCCGTTGAGGGTTGCAAATATAGACTTCCTGTTTTCATGAGAACATTTTGCATGCAAAACATGAAGCTGAGTCAGCTGAGTCGTACAGTTTCCTGTTCTTTATTCATTACTAGGAATAAAGAGCACGAAACTGTATAACTCAGCTTGATCAGCATTTTTTGGATGATTAAATTACACTGGACGCGGAAAGCCGTATCAGCATTCATATTTTTCATGAATGTCATACGACCAACTCCCTAACTGAAATGTGTATCAAATTATACGTATCACTGAAATGCTACTGTCATTAATAAATTTTGAGCGAGTGCATCAAGCGTGATATGTAAAAGATTTTAGGAAACCATTTTATGGTCACGGTTGGACTTTCATTATTCTTATATTTCTCAAAAGATAATTACATGCGTAATAAGATTTGCGTGGCGCTGATAAATTTCAACGAAGTGCCCTTTTTGTATGTTCCTAATACTGTGAAATTGGTCTAAACAATTCAACCGTTAAGATTTTTCACATTACAAGTGTGATGTTGATGACATTTTTTGCTGATGAAGCAACTTTAACTGTTGATGTGGGTCAATAAACAACAAATATAATAGGCCGTTGGCCAATGTGCTCAAAAACACAACTTTGGCTGCACACTCTCACAACTAAGGCCTGTTTCAAACGTCGCATTTTACATGAGTCCAATGCATTTAAAACAAAAGATAATGAGGGATTTTATCTCATTTTCTTTTGTCTTAGGCGCATGTAGGATGCGACGTTTAAAATGGGCCTAATAATTTAAGTCTCACCATTTAAGTCTCTTCGTGAACTAATAATTTCTTTTATAATGTAATCGTGTATTCAATAGCTATCAAGTCACTGCTGCAGAAGCCCAGCTATAGTCTATAAGCGTCTAAAAGCTTTGCCTTTGCATTAGTAGGAGCAGAAAAATGGTAAATAGTTGCGTTGCTGCCAATTGTACGAATAAATCAAGCCTTAGCTCTGGTATGAGTCTTCACACTATACCTTATAATGATAAAAGGCCCGAGGCTAAGCGAAGCAAAGCAAAGCGCGTATTTGAGCCTTTCAATGCTTCAACACTTTGTTCGGCTCACTTCTGACCAGAGGATTAGTAGTTTGCCGAATCAAAAGAACGCTTTATTTTCACGGGACAGACAAAGTTTTAAGACCAACATTGTGTGAGGGTGGAGTTCCCTTTAAAAAAGATGAGATTGAATTTGTGTCTTTTCGACCATCGGTACTTTGAAGTCAAAATCCGAATAATTATCGCTCAAGTTATCATTGCCTTTCGAGTGTTCTATCACATATCCCAGGATAAAGTTTTGGTCAGAATTATCTAACTGAGCACTCAATTCTGATTCCAATTTATCGCTTTCTTCGCAAGACATAATTCCCTCGAATATTATAACAAGACAACGTTAAGGAACGTGTATGTTTAATATACGCTAAATATCCCCGAATGCCGATTACCTTGGATGACGTCAAAATACTTTCTAGTGCCAGTTTCTTTTGTATTATAAAAAACGACGGCGATGGGCCAAAAATGAACAACTTCAAGACGCAATAAAAGCTTGTTGATGTAACCAAATTAAAAAAAATTTTCTCAGAGAGGCTTAAAATCATAGACAGATTTCATATTGCTAACAAAAATTTTTGGTGGAAGGGGAACTTTAAGCAGCTGATAATAAATTCTAAAATAATTGTTTGCAATCATAAACAACATTTTTTATTACTTGTAGCATGTATGTACAAAAGTCGGAAGATCAGTTATCAAGTAGCAGTTATTAAAACGTAAAATTCAATCACGACGCATGTACTGTCTTCTGTCTGTTGTTATACACTCAAAAATTTAATTGTTTTAATTTGATAAAAACAAAGCTGTCTTAACAGTGTGCTGCACTAATAATATGCTTCCATTAACATGAAGCATTCAATTTTCATCGCAAAATGTTCTAATCAAACCCTTCAATGGGACACACAAAACAACAACAAATTTCGACGCCAATTTCCCGTTACATTCAACATTACATAACCTGAATACATATTTATCCATGACTATATTCGTGATTACCACGAGATACGAGTAAAACAACTAGCTATGAAAATATCAAAGGTTATTTGTAATTACATAATATTAAATTAAAAACTCTTAATCAAATTCTATACAGTTCGAATATAAGCTATGCCTATAAGAGATCCTTAATTTCTTGAGACTCTGCGGAATCTTTATAAGATTCCCCGCTTGGCGTTTTCCCATCGCTTTTAGCACCCTGTCAAAACACAATAAAATCAAGGGTTGCTTTTCTATGAAAAGTGATTGGTCTAGGGACTCTAGATTTAAAAATTTCGCCGGGGGGCCATGTCCCCTGACCTCAATAGAAAGACTCATGCTTTGGGCGTTCAAAAGTATGCCCCCCGAAGTTCATGCCTGGCTACCCCACTATATGCGAGAGTTCTGGAGCAGGTGCAAACCCATCCTCGTACCTAGGCGTTTATTGGTTTTGAACTATTTGACGTGCGTGGGCGTCATGCATTTGCGTAACGATCTCCAGTCTTGGGCTAGGGCTGATCTGCTCTGGAGTTCTCACAAAAGGTCTTCCAGGTTTGTATGCGTACTATTTCGCCATAATTAAAGAGTGGATAGTAAGTACCTTGGATAACAAAAGTTTAACACATGATAAGTGTTCTTCGTAAATAGCTGCAAGTAATGGCGTTATTCCATGTTTATCTGGCAACTATATATATTAAAAAAAAGGAAATATTAGTTACGAAAAAATACTTTGGTATTCTTTAAATATTTATTCATGGCAAACGCAAATTTCATCTTTTAATAAAACTGCTTAGAATATTGCATGAATAGCAAAGCTTGCCCATTTTCATTTCATTGAATTTATTTTTTTGTTCATTCACTGGAGAAATAAAGACTGGAATTGACTCTAAAAAATATTTTTGCTCAAACGTTTGCATTGTAGGAGCTGTCGAGCTGGCTTGCCACTAGTCGCCATTACTACTTAGAGGTTCAAGAAGCCCCGACAGGGCTGAGCATGATTGGCTTCACCTGGTTAATAAAAACTAATGCCCTGTCCACATACTTTAGTTAGTATCCCCAAATTTTTTGTTGTGGATAAGCCTTCCGCCCACACTTATCCGATTGTATCCAGGTAGCTACCAAGAGACTTTCAAATCCGATGGGTAGAGTGGAAACTTTCGTATCCGTAAACAATTTGGATACGTGTGGACGCTCAATTTGATATTCAAACTTTATCCGCGCAATAATTCAATAGGGCTGCTCCCAACAAGATTATCTTTGGTGTGTTGCTTGGACTTCTTTGCAGTTTATCTGCATGTGTGCAGTTAAAGTTTGCTATGTTTAAATCACATTTTGAATATTTTAAACGGCGCATGTATGATGCACGATGCACGATGCACGAATTGCTCGATATAAAGCGCTAAAACGAGCAGGAAAGCAAAATCGTCTTCGAAGATTGCAAGTAGGACAAGGGCAATCTAGCAATTGGTGGGACAGTTTTTTAAAGTAAAAGACTTTAGTTTCGTATGAGTTAACTTATAAAAATGCAATTTGCGTGTGCGCATGCTCAAAATAAACAAAATAACGTTAAATATAGAACAGATTCGAATACGATTCGGATCATTGAACTAAAATACATCTGGAACGCTAACTCTTATAGTTTTGTCTCATGATTGGTTGAAGCTAAACATGCATCTAACATTTGTGAACTCCCCCCTGAATCTGCGACATGTTTTTTGCATACCAAGTTCGAAAGGCTTGTGACCTAGATGCATTTTATAAATATAATAAATGAATTTTATAAAACACATTTTTCTCTTTGGCAAATAGCTCAATTTTTCTACATGGAACTACAATAATTAGGTGGTTTGAACGTTCGGGTATGCCTGAAACTTTCAAAAACTCAGAAAAAGCAACAAAATTCGCGCGAAATTTTCGTAATTTTCGTCTTTCCTTCAAAATTTCGCGACCTGCAAAAATGAAAAAATCTGGCTTCATTTTGCTCCCCTGACTTATCGTTCCAGATGTATTTTAGTTCAATGATTCGAATACGTGTGGTGTGGACGCGCAAACTGTTTTAACTGGAATGTAATTCGCAACAAAAAGTTTGCGGATACTAAAGTATCCGGATACGTGTGTACGGGGCCTAAATTCATTTCAGTATTGCGAGAGCCTGAAAAATGTAAAAGTAGCAAAGACTATAACCGAAGGTCCAAAGGTCGTGCGCTATTTGCAGTCTTTAAAAAACACTAAAGTGCACGTTTAGACCTACCGTTGCACGAGAAACTATACTAGTACTTAATAATAATTTACTTTCAGATAGTTCTTGGGTGTCTAATAAACTCTCTAGCGCTTTGATACAGTCTATCTCTTCAGAATAGAAAACCTCGTTGCACAGTTTAACTGTTAAACACATTTACCCAAAAAACAGCACTTGCTGTTTTGCTTTGCTTTTTTTGTTTGCATTCTTTTGATATTCTTTAATTTCAAACGATTGCAATTGTGGAAATCTTTGATTACTTACAAATGCCACCATTTTTTTTTAACTGAAAAGACATTTGCTTGGCTTTTACTCAATTCAATGCTTTACAGCCAATCAGGAAAAAGTATTTACAGTGCAATGACAATTTTGTACAGTGTAAATTACCGGTAAACTGCACTGCAAAAGAACCAATCACAGTCAAGAAATGTCTCAAAGTATATTATTAGGAATGAAATGATCTAAAATCACTCTGAGAAACATGTAAATTACATGTGATCACATGACCTCTATCAATAAACTAATGAGTGTGATGTCAGCTATTGTGTTTGAAAATGTAAAATGATCTTGACAGCTACATATGTTTTGCATGGATGTTCTTTGCTGTACAAGTAGTATAATGTAGTTGTTATCCGCAAAATATTTGAAAGAAAAGACATAAACCAAAGTGTGCAACATAAAGTGGTAGGCAAAAATGTAGATGAAAATATTTGAGCTGCATTAAGCAATCACAGAAGATGATAATTGAGGGTCCATATTCATAAGTTCATATCTGTAATCACATTTATTAAAAACTAATAAAGTAGAACATGCAATTGCAATATGAATATTGCCCTTCCACCCCACCACCCCCTCCCCTCCCAATGTGCAATCTGTTATCCCAGGCATTTTTCAAGAACTTAAAACATCCAAGATAATATAAATTTTAAGAAATTACAGGATCCTAGTGGATAAGATCTTATTAACATCCTAAGCAGCATATTACATATGTACGAAAGTGTCGCGTTGGCTTTTATGAGATGGTTGCATATGTGTTTTTTCAAGCTGGCAAAATAAAGCGTAACATTACATGTATTTATTTCGCAATAAGAAAGTTAAAATTGTTGAAAATATTTGTCAAATATACATATACATACATTCACATTAGCACCTTTGCTGATAAGATACTTAAGCACTTCAAGTTGACCATAATCTGCAGCAAAATGAAGTGGATTTCGACCATTCATCAATTCACTGTTCACACTACAACCCTAGAAAAGCAAAATTGATATAAATCAAGCAGAGTTATCCGCACTGAAAATTTAACACTACTTTCTTCACTAATTTGGACATTGTCATGAATAAGTAAATGCACATCTGAGTGTGTTTTTGAAGAAACAGCAAAGACCCAAACATTCTATTCACATTAAATTAACAAAATGATAAAATGAGTAGGTGATTAGTGGCCTAACTAGGGTATGTCAAAATAAATTATCGCAGCAAATTTTGGAATATATTTACATTTCTGAGCCCATAAGAGACAAGTCCATTGGTAAAATTATATTCTTTAGAAATTCAAAACCAATAGTGTTTTTCTGAGAGTACTTTGAATTTAAAATTGAGAAGCTATAATTTATTTTGCCAATTGCTGGATCCGCTGCTGTTGATGACCAATACTCAGATTTGAATATCAAAGTTTTAAGTGTAAATTCTTTAATAATTTCTAAGCTAAAATCATATTGTAGCAAAAAAGTTCAATGTTCACATCTCATTCAGTTGCTTTTTGCAAGGAAACACACAATCATATCAGGTATTATCTTCATTAATGTGGAAATTAGAATGCGTTCAGGGATACCCACTTTTATTTTAATTTCACATTTGTAATTTGCAATGGGTATTCTTCATAATTTTTTTATGGATGCCATTATATGGCACATAAGCATATGCAATTGATTTCTGAAATGAAAACCTAATTCTTATGAAAATCTATAACGTTATTATACGGTATAAAAAATAATGGGAATATTAAAACGTGGTATATGTTCGATCATAAAATTTCCCAGGCAGATGAGCATTTCAGGAAAGGTTCCTGTTGCTCAGAACAAAAGTCAGCAACCTCATGCAACAATATAAAATGGTCATAAGAGATACGTTATAATATAAAAAATTCACGGAACTAATTCGACTACAGTAAAGAACATATGTTTTCAGGTAGCGTAAAAAGTTATTTCTTCCTAACATGTGTTTTGATTGACAAATTCTTTTCCTTAATCAAGCCCATTTACGCAAATTGAAAGATCTGTTTTTAAAATTCGCACGGATATATTATTGTACAAAGTTTCTTCCCGGTGTATTGAAAGACAATTACAGTATTTCTCAACGTGACGAGCGAAACTTCTTGTTACATGAGTATTGTGTTGCAAAATGTGGAAAAACACTGCACATATCTTTCGGGTTGTCGTGAATCAACAATACCGCGTTTATCGTACACCAGACGCTAATGTAGACTCGTCTGTTTTTTTTGTAACATACCTTTCTCTCCACCAGTTCGCGAACTTTATCCAAATCCCCATTTTTTACAGCCCAAAGCAACTCCTCACCCATTTTCGGTTCGTATTGATAAAGACGAAGTGTCCTAATTCGACGATTTAAGAAAGACAGCCCGAAATCGTTATTGTATTGACAGATTGCGTGAAGTGTTTGTAGGGAGATCATGCAAAATATTAATGACACTGCAAAATAGCGGTGCACGCGAGCAAAATGTGGACTGGGAATGACATTTTCTTGATTTCATATTGGATGTTGTTATACTTCATGATAACACAACGAAATGTATCAATAAAAGAAGACGTTTCACAACAAATGTGAAATAATTTTCTTATTCTATAAATGTCACGGCAAAATAACAAAGAATTGTTGGTGACAATCGATAGACAGGGAGAGCAATTAAGGAGATATGAAGCCAGACTACGAGGTAACATTCTTTATACATGGCTGTATCAAGACTTTTAAGATTCACGAATTCACAATACAAGCTTGATATGATATATTCAGAATTTCGTTCAATTTTTTGGGAATCGATTGGTTTTAATAACTGTATCAACACTCACGTTTCCGTCTCCTGCAGAGCCTTAAGATTTTCTAAGCTTTTTGATTGCAAGCTGTCAATAATAAAATAGAATTCGTACGAAGCACAATGTAAGTGAGAATGTACCTTTCACACTACTCAGTTCTCACCACATACATTTGTAGATACGAAGGCAGTTCAGTTATTTTCATAGAATGATTAGGTTTTTATCAATGTAATGATTTAAAGAACTAGTATCTTTTTCACTTTTTTTAAATTATGCCTTGAAGACTGTAAACATCTACATGATCTGGTTTTAACAACGAATATTTATTTTATTTTTATTGTGGTAGCAAGGTTGAGTATACTAGCTGAAATATCTTGCAAATAGGGAATTGTTCACTCTAACCCGAGCATACAGTTAACTAAGGTTTCTCCTTCAGTCGTTTTCAACACTTTCCCAACAAACAAATGATCTTTTAGTAAGTTGGTCGTTTGAGCTTGCTTTACTGTTTTCTGCTAATTTTCAAGGCATTACAAAAATTGAATGGAAAAATACACAAGGCTTCAAAACCAGATTTCAAATTGTCTATACATACTTGATGATATCTTTTTAGAAGCTTAGAGAAACTGGGGCGTCTGCTGACTCTTCAGTTTAGCAGATGCCTCTAGTGCTGGCCAAAAATACAGCAGGTGTAAGTGAAATGTGGTGGGAAATTTTACAATAGTTTTTCTTTGCTCTTGAAGGTATCAATTAACATTGTAATAAATTATGAAATTAATTATTCTGTTTTCTAAAAATACTACAAATTGACCGGAAATTGACACTAACACTGTCCCTAACTGCGTTTGGAAGATCAAAACTACATTTTCAACTTCTTATGGTCTTTTCAATATGAACATAATAGCCCAACATAAGACTTTTAAAAAAGCATTTCTTTATTTTACTATTGTGAAGGCTTTTTTAAAAGTCTTATGTGTGATGTTGACTTGTGGTGTTGACTTGTAGTGTTTACTTGTGGTGTTTACTTGTGGTGTTGACTTGTGGTGTTGACTTGTGGTGTTGACTTGTTGTGTTTACTTGTGATGTTGACTTGTGGTGTTTACTTGTGGTGTTGACTTGTGGTGTTTACTTGTGATGTTGACTTGTGGTGTTGACTTGTGGTGTTGACTTGTGATGTTGACTTGTGGTGTTTACTTGTGGTGTTGACTTGTGGTGTTTACTTGTGATGTTGACTTGTGATGTTGACTTGTGGTGTTGACTTGTGGTGTTTACTTGTGGTGTTGACTTGTGGTGTTTACTTGTAGTGTTGACTTGTGGTGTTGACTTGAGAGAGTTGTCAACTTTTCATGCTTCATGTAACAGTATTGCGTCACTGCTTCGTCAAGAGAATCCTTTGTATTCAAGCCTTTTACCGTTTTTTTCTTAGATTTAACAATTCTTTTGAAGTTTCTCATTATTTTGCTCAATCTTAATAAGACAAACGAACGCGTAAACTAAAGAATAACATGCGACAATAAACATCAATAAACCTTGTACCCCTTCCGCCAAAAATTTTTTGCGATATGAAATCTGTCTATGATTTTAAGCCTCTTTGAAAGTAAATTTTTTAATTTCGTTAAATCGTTTGATTTTTGTGAAGCGTTAAATTCACTAAAATCGTATATTCTTGTGAACCATGTCCGTGATAATGAGAAGTCTGAAACTAGTTAATTTTCTGACGTCATTCAAGGTACTTGTCTCGTGTATTCAATTGTTATCAAGTCACTGCCGAGGCAGAGCTAAAGTCTATAAATGTCTAAAAGCATTGCCTTTGCACTAGTAAGAGCAGAAAATGGTAAATTGCGTTTCAGGCAATTATGCGAATAAATCAAGCCTTAGCTTTGATATAAGTCTTCACATTGACTATACCCAACAAAGGCCCAAGGTTGAGCAAAAAAAAAACCTGGGTTGATTTCATTAAAGCAAAGCGCGTATTTGAGCCTTCCAGTGCTTCAACACTTTGTTCAGCGCACTTCAGAGTTACGACTAGAGGATTTTTAGCGTCGATTTAGGAGTTTGCCAAATCAAAAGACGCTAAGTTTTCTAAGGCATAAAAGAGACGACGTTGGAATTTGTGTCTTTCCGAGCAATCATGCTTTGAGCTCAAAATCCAAATTAATATCGATCAAGTTTTCTTGCCTTCTCGGTAAAACAATTTCTATTTAAAAAATTTATACAAATTGATCCAAAATGCTTGTGCAATAATCTTCATTCCTACCATATTGTTTGTTTGTACAAGAACTCAAGAATTTTGACAGCATCAGCCTGTTCGCTGGTTGATTTGTGCTGTTATTTTGTAGTGTAGTCAGCCCGCAAAAATTTGTGCTAGTCATGCTATTTAATAATTGGTGTTCACTTACCTAACAATAGATTTTCTCAAATGATGCTAATAATCTAAAATTGACAAGGGATACCCCACTGCTGTTATTAGAACATGTTTGAGAACAATGCTTAAATATTTTCAATCTCAATTTCTAACTCATCTCAAAATTTCTCATATATTGTTTTCTATCGAGTATCTCGGTATAAAGTTTCTGTCACAATTATCTGACTGAGCACTCTGATTCCGATTCATAGCTTTCTTTGCAAGACATAATTCCCTCGAATATGATAATAAAGCAGCGTGAACAAACGCGTATTCTTAATATAAGCTAAATATGCCCGAATGCTGACTACATTGGATGACGTCAATATACCTTCTAGTGCCAGTTTCTTTTGTATTAGAGGAAACGACGGCGATGGGACGAAAATTGCACAAGTTTAAGACACCATAAAAGCTTTTTGATTTGACCAATTCAATATATTTTTCCTTAGTGAGGCTTAAAATCATATAGGCAGATTTCATATTGCTACAAAAGTTTTGTTGGAAGAGGCACTTTAAGGAGAATCGTTCACTTCATGGTAATACAGTTTTACAAATTTTGAGAAATTAATCTTTGTGTCTTTTGCTCTAGAAATAACTGATAAAGCCTGTTTATTGGAGACTAGAAATTCAAGGGGACTAAAAAAATAAGAGGGGAAAGGAAATAGTGAAGAAAGAATGGGATAGAAAACAGAGAATTAAGGATTAGTAGTGTGCACCCGATTTAAGCCGGATTCCGGCTATTTTCCCTGCCGGAGCCGTAGCCGGAGTTTGTTCGTCGCCAGAAAAACTTCGGTAGCAGTTGTTTGTGCTGCAAAATATGTCAGATTTCAGTAAACGTATCCGATAAAAATATATTTGTATCAACGAACGATAACTATCGGCTAAAATTGAAGAACTTGCATGAAAATAAAAGATTCTATGCATAACTCATCATGACGAGAGATAGCGTTCACGCATGCTAATTTTTGATTGAAAGTCGGAGCGCGGAAATTTAACTTCACGTATAAAATTTTTTTTAACAATACGCCTTAGACTGTAAAACAGTGACTTGAAAAGTTAACCAGCCACAACCAGTGATTCGAGTAATAAAATAGGCGGAGTTTGCACAACATTATTTGTTATTATAACTTTACTAACTTAGATATTTGTAATTCAGCCGCAAGGCTGCAATTAACATTTTAATAAACTACTTACTTACTAACACTAGTAAGGATGGAGGGGGGGTGGGGGAGGATGAAGTGGAAATAGAACATATTGGAAAGGAAATAGAATATGGTATAATGGTATCCAATACTTTTGCCAGATGTTGTACTTGCATACAAAGGCCTGCAAAAAGAAAAAAGTGCTTTGGAGAAGAGCCTACGCGTTTTGAGCAGTACAGATAACAAGCCGACTCAGGAAAGTCCTTTAAATCACGATGGAAACACTAACGAGGAGCTTGGCATTGAGTCAAAAATTATCAGTGATCATGAACAGAAATCGGACGATGTGATCACTGTTCAGGTAACCATCGTGCCTGAATACATCATTAAGACATATTAATGTTTTTGTGACTAAAATTACTTGCAATTTTTGACTATGTGAATAAAAGTGCTCGTCATTATAAGTAACACAGATTCTTCAATCACGTGACCGTAGGAAGATCGATAACTGGGGGGGGTCATATTCATTTGTGCATATTATCCGTAGAGAACAATAGATTTCAAAAGTTATTATGGCATATCATGTAAATTTGAATTCAAACTCCCCCCCTCCCTAGTCCCAGCGATCGATCTTCGTAAAGCCCTGAATTAAGACATGACTGTTATTTTTGCATGTACTAATCAATAGTTTAAGCACTACAGCTAATAAAGTTACGTAGACATTCAATGAATGTTTAGATCAATGTTTAGGTATTGGTGATTGGTGGATCTACTACCACCAATCCCAGGATACGTAGGTCAGAATGCATCAAAGAAAATTTATTTTCATTTCAAAATACTTTTGAGCGAATCCTATTGGGAATATCTTAGCCATAAATATTCCTTGGAATTTCTAGCCAACAGCATACTTACAATATTTATACATTTGTATTTTGAATTTAAGGGGCTTATTACATTATCCCCGTAGCCGGGATTCAGCCAAGCGTTAAAGCATTTTGGCAAATGGAAACGATTCAATACTTATCATGAGATAATCATCTCAAGCAGTTTCACAACGTTCTGATTTAATAACTACGCAAAACATTTAAAATTAAAACAACTAATTTGCCCTAATTTGAGAATTACAACCGGAATGACCTGTGGCACTTTGCAAACAGTTGTAATTTTTAACTTTGAAGTTTTGGCCTCTTTCAATCCCTTGAAAACATTGTGCTAGCTCGCTATCCGGGCCTGCTCGCCTCCATATAATCAGGCCCTAAGATCAGCTTCTATAAATTATTTGGACCTACCCTAGATCCGCCACTGCCGCCATCAACAAATTGTCTACTTCTCCCGAAATACAACGATGCTTTGGACGAAAGAAAGAAATTAAGCGAGGGGGCGGGCCTTATAACTTAGTAATCCATTCATTTACTAATATATCGAGACAGATAAGTGAATATTTTCACAGCATTGTCTACTATTATCAAAGGCTGTGCATGATGCTAATGATAAAGGATTGGAATCGCAAGTGAAAACTCTTCGCGAGGCTTTGGACACAATCATGGAACAAAAAACAAAAATGGAGGGCTCGTTTCAAGCTGATAGAAAGAAATATTTGGTTTGTGCGCATTTTACATGCATGGTACGTGACAAACACCGAGGATTTGCATCATTTTACTTCTTTACATTTTCACAGTTAGAACTGGAAAAGAAAGACGAGCTTCTTGAACAAGTAAAGAATGAATTTCAAAGACACAAAGAAAAAATGCAAAAGGAGATCTCTGAGGTATGGATATGTTAGTTGACACTTAAGCATACAGCATGTTGGATTAATATATATTGCTGACAAAATAGTTTATGATTAGTCGCAAATTACAAGCTATAGGTTGCCGATTCGTTGTACCACTTGACAAGTTACTAGAGTTTACTGATTTGCTGAAGAATTCCGCGGATATTCCGTGATTTGTCCAGTAGGCATATATTTTCTAATGCTGGTTATTTTCAGAGTTTATTTTCATGATTAGTGTTTAGTTTTTACTATTTTGGACTTGCTTAATGTTCTTGAATTAGACCTTTTTCTGTTGAAAACCGAGCAAGCGATTAAATTTCGCGCCATCGACTGTTTAAATGCGCGATTCTCAGAGCTTGCGAAGTTGCGGGTTTTCCGAGTTCCCTTCATCATGACAATGATTTTTAACATCTCGTTTGAACATTAAATTTTTTCTCTATTATTTTCATCATGAGTTACATACTCATGCCGAGGAACGCAAAGATCGTCGAGAGACTGAACCGAGTGAGAGGAACTCATACGACTTAAATGCGCGCAACTTCGTCATAGTTTACAGGCCCCGCAACTCGTAATCCGCCACTGGGTATGTGGGTGGTCTGACAGCCCTAATTTTTGAAAAATGGTTGGTGAATTCCTCCAAAATAGATCGATTTTTCGATATCTATTATATGTTAGATTTTAATTGAAAAGTTAGAGAAATGAGCAAATTCCCAAAGTCAACTTATTGATTATTCTTAAGTTATTGTTTGTTGAATGAAGAACTTTTGGGACTCTCAATCTTTTATAATGTTGTTCATTGCCATGAATAAATCTTAAAAAGTTTTGAATTGATTTTTTTTCAATCGTTGCTCGAGTTTTTTTCATAAGTTTGTTCGGTTTCATGCAAATATATGTTAAATGCATTAATATTTCAGTTACTCGGTCTTTCTTAATACTGTTTAGAATAGTGTACATGTCGCCATTTCTATTGTTTATCTTTCTTTGCACGCTAGCTTCGAGCTCGTACATGTGGTGAGCAAAAGCGCGGAAACTGAGTAATGATCACGTGATGATGCTGAAAGAAATGCAGCAGCTGGTGTCAAAGAACGATCAGCCAGAAAGAACTTCAAAGAAAGATCGAGTCACTGGAAAAGACGATTATGGAAAAAGAAGTTCCGGATTCGACTTGTACTTTCCAAGGTGCGGACGTTTTTACATTGAGAATAACAAATTTACCACAAAAAATCTTTTAAAAAGAAAATATGAAACCTGCGATTAAGCATGTTAATTGCTTTTGCTGCAATCTTAGAAAGGCAATACAGGCCTCTTCAAAGGACTTGAGTTGTTGTGAGGCTTTTCACCTGGCCACGTGCGTGAAACTATCGCCAGTTAAACAACGGTTGCATGTCTTAATTAAATGACATTCGACCACTGTCAAAGTAAACAGTCTCAATAGATAATATGGTAGGGTGGATATTGATACTTTCTTTTCTTTTACTACATTACTTTCTTTTGTGGTGGATGTGAACTTTCTACTACTCTTTCTTCTGCTACTTTCTCTTATCTTTTGGGGTGGATATGGACTTTCTACTTTACTCTTTCTGCTACTTTACTTTCTATTTTTGGGGTGGATGTGGACTTTTTACTTTCCTTTCTTTCTTCCATTCTTTCTACTTCAGGGTCTATCTTTCCTTCCTGGCCTGGATGGGCTTTCTTTCCTTCAGATCTTCTTTCACTTTCCTGGGGTCACATGCTTTCTCCTTTCAGGGTGGATCCTCTTTCTTTGGGGTGGATCTCTTTTGGTCTCTTTCCTTCTTCTCGTTTCCTTTCCATTCTTCAGGTCTCTTTCTTTCTTTTCTTTTCTATTTTTTGGGATTGGATCCTGACTTTCACTTCTCTTTCTGCCACTTTACTTTCTATTTTTTAGGTGGATATGGATTTTTACTTTACTTTCTTTCTGCTCTTTACTTTCTATTTTTAGGATGGATATGGACTTTTTACTTTACTCTTTCTTAACTACTCTATTTTTTTAGGTGGATATGGACTTCTACTTTACTCTTTCTTTACTTTCTTTCTGCTACTTTACTTTCTATTTTTTGGGGTGGATATGGATTTTTTACTTTACTTTCTTTCTGCCACTTTACTTTCTATTTTTTGGGGTGGATATGGACTTTCTACTTGTTGAATTTTTTTTTATTTTGTTATTTTTTTATTTTCGTTTTTTGATATCTTTAGGTCGTGACTCGACGAAGGGTTTGGATAAAAGCATCCAAGTTTCAAATACGTCATCGGCACTGACGAAACTCGAAGAGGATATGCAAAAGATCAAAGCTCAGTTGGAAAAAGATATCATGCGTGAACAGCAGCGAGCAAACGAAGCTGAACTCAAAGCATCTTTACTTTCAAAAGCTGAGGAGAATCGTGTCGCTGACCTAGGTGACTATTAACGACTATTAAACTGAATATAACTGGAAGCCTGTCATCGGCAAAAGTTTTAACGTCTGCAATTTGACATGAATTATCACATGATACATGTGTTTTTTACCATTGCAAATTGCCACATTCATGAAATTATCATTAGACACAAGTCAAATCAACCACCTACCCCAGCCTCCCTCTTTGACGTGTAAGCTGCTGTGTTGTATATTAGGTACACAAAAAGGTACACACAACTATTAAGAAACATAAATAAGATGATTTTAGAATTGTAAAACGCATTTTTGTCTTGTTATTTAATATTTCATCTTTCATCATAACATTCATCTTTTCTTTGGAAGAAGAAAAAAATGACCTGTTGCTATTAAACTAATTTAAGTAAATATGCAGTAGATTACAGGACAGTTATGATGTGGTACTTTTAAACTGGTCTAGACACGCTGATTGGCTATTATGTCATTAAAATATAAGAGTTTGAGGTTGTACTTACTTAACAAGCATTGCGTTTGTGCATTTCTTCTGGACGGTGAATATGCATCACTTTTTCGTCATCTTATTAACTAGCCCTTATTTACCGAGCTTTCGATTATCGGACCGAAGTTTTTTCTACAGACCGAGCCCGTAGGGTGAGGTTTGTGCAAAAAAGCAAAGATTCGATATTTCTCTGTAAAAACCGAGCAAGCGCGGTTAATAAAGGCTTGCTTTCTTTCTCGTCCTTGCTGTTTTGTACGGGATAGCTTTCACTTTCCTATTTTTCGTTAATACAAAATAAATCGTTTCAAATTGTATCGTCTGGACAGTTTAACTGTTTTCCAAGTGTTTTTCCTTCGACTCACATTCGTAAATGGTTTTTTTTTCATTTATTTTTGCGTTTTGCTGTTTGCTTTACGAAGTTTGTTTACATTTGACTGTAAAATTACGCGTTTTGGACTGTTGCCCATTACGAAAATAAATGACAGGGAAAATGTTTCCGAGCCAATCAGAGAAAATTTTTCTGGAATGATGCTTGCCATAATATAAAACTAGTTATTTACAGATATTCTATGGTTTTTAGAGGCTAAACTTTCAGAATTATCCAATGTTGTTGGCAAATATGAAAGACTTAGAGCTCACGATCAAGTTGAAATAAAGAAATTAAAAGATCGTTTACATACAATGGCAACAACGCCGTCAAATGATGTTTCTATGAAACAGACAACCGACATGAATGTCAATAATGATAAAATACTTGTGATGAAATTCAAAGAATTATTGCAATCTTGCATAAAAGATGAGGAGATATCAGAAGAAAGTAAGTGATGTATACTAATTATTTTGTCAGTTCGATTGACGTTTTGTGTTTACCTTCGTTCTGTGCTTACGTTATTTCTACTGGTTTTTAAAGTGTCTTTACTTCACAGATAAAATGCCTAAGTGATTTTGATAATCATTAAAAAAGTCCAACCATGCAATGTACTGTACATTGTCATCTTTGTTTCGTGTAACCGTCTCCTAGATAATGGAAAACAGGAATTCTATATGCTAGGACGAACAAAAATGACGTATACACTAAATTTCGATGCTATACAGTCATGTTGAGAATGTTGTGGTGTTTTGTTCATCATAGTTATATGTTATGATTCTACAAAATTATAGTGGTGTCAAAATTTGTCTTGTTTTTAGATGATTTAGGCTTAAGTCGTGCAGATTTAGAATGCATTTTACAAACGGACCCAGCTCACAGAGCATGCCGTGAGGACTTCGTCAACTGAAAGATGAATTCGAGTGTTACAAAGCAAAGATTCGATCGTCAAAAAACTCCCCGCTTGAGAAATTGCCAAATAATGATACCGAAAGCAAGAAAAAGGTCGTGGACGATCTCAAAACGACTCTACAATCAATGCAAATACAACTTGATAACAAAGACGATGAGCTCGAAACATGCCGGGAGTCTTTCGATAAAGAAAAGGCCAATTTACGAAAACTTCACATTTCTGAAATAGAAAGCGAGCGAACGATATACATGGCAAAGATGCAAGAACTCGAGAGAGAAATGCAGAGTCAAAGAAGTCGAACCATGGCGTTGATCAGCGAAAAAGACGTCGAAATTGAGAGACTGCAAAAGAAGATGGCAAAGAACAATTCAGAGTCGCCTGCGATACTTCGACGAAATCAGTCTTTTACGTTGACCAGAAAAAGCAGTTCCGATGATACGGTCGATGAACTTTTGTTGCAGTCACATCCGGTAAGAGTTTGTGGTCACGTGTACAGTTTGCTACTTTTCACAACAGACACGTCATTTCTTTTGGATTTTTTATTTGCCAAGACAGATGTTAGGACAAAGAGTTAAACAGCGCTATCATCCGGATACATTCTTTCAATATAAAATTCAAGAATGTTGAAATCACACGTGAATTGTTTCAGCTAAACAAGATAAAAATTGTTTAGTTTTTCAATGTTCATTTTATGTAATTTTTACATAATCATGCAACAAGTACTGAGGATTGATGTTGGTGTGGGGTTTTAGCAAATTCACGTCATCACACAAACTAGCTGAATCCATTAGAGATAGCTGATTTGCGTAATTTATTGCTTATGCGTGAATCACTGTGTATAGCAAAAGTATACATCAGTTAAACTTCAATTTACGACTTTAAATCTTCTCTTTGTGCATTCTTTAAATCTCAGTATTGATTTGACTTTTTCAAACTGCAGTCGTCATTACTCCATTTTGCCCAAGAGCAGGCATATTGCGATGCTGAATTTTTGTTGTTGAAGAAACAACGCAGAGAACTCGAGGAATCTGTTCAAGAATTTGAAAGAAGGTATGATATATTCTTGTGATATGTGTTTTTCAAGAGTTTTGGATCTAAAGCACAAGAACGAATTTCAGTTATGGACTTGGAATAACTATTCAATATAAAATTTCAAATACATTAGGGATAATCAAATTATAATATGCAATTTGCATCTCATGTTGAAGTATATTTGTCGTTTTACAATGTGGTAATGAGAAAATCCCCACAAAACTCTACCGAGAATATATGCTCCATTGATTTTTTTTTGTCAACGAAAATTAACTCTTATTATTACTTTTTGTTTCTTTCTCTGTTTATTATCCTTTATGAAAATTATTGACGATTTTATTCATTTATAATTTGTAATGAACAGAGTAGGCTTGGAAATATTTTTTTGGCTTTACCAATAGCATGAATTAAATTATTAGGCTGCGTTTACACTATACCGGATTCGCTTATCACGACATCTTCATTTGCTTTAAAGGGGTAACTGTTGGGAGTAAAAGCGTATTAAGCTGATAGATTTAGTCTATTCGATTGTGTTTCTGACGTTGAACAATTTTACTGCCATTTAATATAAAGGATATTCAACCTGCTATGATAGCAATCCGGTAGGGTGTAAACGGGGCCCTAGATAGAAAGTTTGAAACGTCATCCAGTGGCGGATCCCGTGTACCTCAAAATAAATTACAGTTCCTCAATTTTAAATTCGAATAACATTCAGGAAAACACTATTGGTTTTTAATTTCTAAAGAATATATTGTTGCCAATTAATTTGCCTCTAAGGTGCGAAGAAATGTAAATATACGCCAAAATGTGCTGCAGTAATTTATTTTGAGGAACTCGAAATCCGCCACTGACGTCATCTGAAGTAGAATTTTACCATTTTGTTAAGACAGCACATCAGATAAGGGGAATTTATCAGATAACACCAAACAACTTTCCATTAGAAAACGTTGTTACTACTCTAGATAAACTCAAATGCTGGCTTATAAAAGTATATCTTTCCATTTACTACTCCAATGACATCAAATTTAGCGCTTGAGAATTTGGAAGGGAAAATCAATACATTAAGCGTCTTAGTTTGAACAATACATGCAAATATTCAAACAAACATTTAACACCTTAGGTGGGAAAGTAGTCTGCAAACTTTTAGAATGAGCTACCGCCTACCAGTGCGTGGCGAAGCCTTTTGGTTTTTTCAGAAGTGTGTCTTACGACAATTTGCTTTTTCATATTCAAGGGAAGAGCAAACTTATGAACAAGTCAAACTACTGAAAGAAGAAATTCGAAAGCTAGAAAGGAATTGGTGAGAAACTAATCTATTGATTTTTGCTTTTGACTTTTTTTGAACTTTTATCTTTAATATCTTGTTCGACGTTTGAGGACGTCCTTGCCATTTTATGCCAGTGCGTGTTAGGTCAGAGAGCTATTTCATGTGTTTTGCGCTTTTACTCAGCTCGCGCGAAAATGCTAACATGGAATATGTGAAGAACGTGGTTTTACGCTACCTCTTAACAGACAGTGAATCAGTTCGACAACAAATGATTGCTGCCATTTCAACAATTTTACAATTCAGTCCTGAAGAGGTAAAAAATTCTCTATTTATGTTAAATTGATCGTCTCTTTACTCCCCCAGCCTAGATTGATGCATGTCTCATGCAAAGTTACGCTTACCTAAAACAATGGTAGCAACATAACAAGTTAAAGGAAGTATAGGTTTCAAATAAAAGTTTTAAATTGTTTTAGCAAGTTTACATGGTCAATCGTAGTGTATAGCTGATCTAAATATGATAAAAAAAATTAAATAAGGTACATTTCATCCCCATAAAAATACACGGAAAATAGAGGTGTTGTGGTTGGTGGAATTTGGTTCCTTTTTTGAAATTGAATTGCTTTTAGCACAATTATATACTGTTCTTTTGAATTTTGGAACATTTTATATCTACGTATTCAACATGATTTTTTTCATATTTTTGTTCTTACAGACGTTTTCATTCATATAAAGAACATGTTTAGGTTGTGTAATAGTGATATAAAGGAAGACTCAACTATTACCTAAGACTTAAACCCATTTATTTTCATTTTAATTTCGATTACTTAGCGTTTCCATGGCTTTCTTTTGTATCCTATACAAAGTGCCTCGTCATAAGACAACCAACACATAACATTTCAAATATCTATACATGCAATGGAATATAAACAATAGTTTAACATCTTCTAATTGTATATTTTCTACTATATTGTCAAATCAAATACGACTTTTGTTTTTATATAAATATCTAATTATTTTTTAGGTATTTAAGGTCAAGCAAGTAATGAAACGCTGGTGGGGAAGAGCGTAAAACATTTGAAATTGACTATTTATTTTTAAATAGAATGATCTAATTAAAGTGTTTTTAACACAATGCTAATTTACTGCCAGTATTTCATTTTATTATTTCAGATTATTATTCACTTTGCGAGCATTCTCGGCTGTGATTGGTCACTACCTGCAGATAATTCTCGATGTCTGTAGGTATGACGTCATACCTACTGATAATACTTTCTACATATAGGACGCCATTGAAAGTCGGTTTTGAAAAAAATCAAAACAACGATGTTTACCACAGTTTCTAAGCTTTTGAGCAAAAATAAAGCGAAAAACTCTAAATAAGCGACGAAGCTGGCTTTGAACATATTTACATATTTACAGCATATTTAAACAAAAGAACTTGAAAAACCGCTTGTTTCAACGACAAATTAGCGAATGTTTGAAAATGTTTAACATTTATCAGTTTTGATAATATTTCAGTCAGTTGAGGTGAATAATAAAGCAATTACTGAATTCGTTTTTCGCATGATATCAAGAATTATAGACTTTTAAAATTATTTTAAGAATAATTGCGACGTTTATGTTATAAAGCCTGTTGTTGAAAAGGTAATAATGCATGAAATGCATGTGATTTCAAGTGCATGAAATTACATTCTAAACAATAGTTTAAAAAACAAGATAAAAAAAATCCTATTGCAGTAAATTATTCTTATGCATTCAAAGGAAATCGAACCCTGGTCTCTCGCTTGGAAGGGTAGAATTCTACTACTGAACCACCAGTGCCGAAACGTAAGACGTGTTAGTAATGAATTCATAGAAATTTTGATGAATGATTTAAAGTTTTATTTTCATAGCTTGTTATTCAAAACCTCCAAAAAAATAAGTAAAATATAAATTGCAAATAATATACTACCTTAAAAAAGAATGAAAGGACAAATAAGTTTTAAAAGAATCAGTTACGACCTTATTATGATGATGCGTGTTAATATTTTGCCATAGAATAAATTTCCCGTTTCTTGCGTTGCAGAATAGAATTTTACCAATAAATCACAAATATTGTTAGAAAAATCGTTCGAGAAAAAGTTTTAAAAAATGTTTAGCAACGTTTAAGTTATAAAGCATATAGCTTAAAACGTATTAAAAAATTCAGTAAAAACTGTAAAATGTACGCCGTTAAGTCCATGAAAATACATTCTAAAATTTATTTTAATACAAGATGAGTAAAATCTTCGTATAGTAAGATTTGGAGTGCATTGACAGGGAATCAAACCCTGGTCTCCCAAGTGGCAGGCGAGAATTCTACCACTGGACCACCAGTGCCATGAGTGCCACTGGTTTGCCATGATTTCTTCCGAATTTTTTATGAAGACGTTTAAGGTTTTGTTTAGAAAGCTTTTTATTTAAAACTTTAAAAGTAATCAGTAAAAGTTAATTATGCATCTAATTGTCTCCGTTAAAAAATAATAAAAGGACAAACTAGTTATAAATGAAGTCATTCACTAGCTTATTATGATAATACGTATTCATATATTTTCACAGCAGAAATTCCTGTTCTCCTACGTTGCAGGATGAAATTCTAGCACTAAATTACCAATGCTGTTTAAAAACTTGTATGAGAAAAACTTTTAAAATTATTTTGAGAATAATTGCGACTTTTAAAATATAAAGCCTGTTGTTGAAAACGTAATAATAAAACGTAATAACTGCTAAGTAAAAAGTGAAAAATGTAAGCAGTCAAGTGCATGAAATTACTTTCTAAACAATAGTTTAAAACAAGATAAATAAAATCGTATTGCAGTATACTATTCTTGTGCATTGGCAGGGAATCGAACCCTGGTCTCCCAAGTGGCAGGCGAGAATTCTACCACTGAACCACCAGTGCCATGAGTGCCTCTGGTTTGCCTTGATTTCTTCCGAATTTTTTATGAAGACGTTTAAAGTTTTGTTTAGAAAGCTTATAATTTAAAACCCTAAAAGTAGTCAGGAAAAAGTTAGATATGCATCTAATTGTCTCCGTTAAAAACCAATGAAGGACAAATTAGTTGTAAAAGAAGTCATTTACGAGCTTGTTATGATGATACCTATTCATATTTTTCCACAGATGAATTTCCTTTTATCCTACGATGCAGGATGAAATTCAAGCACTAAATTACCAATTCTGTTTAAAAACTTGTATAAGAAAAACTTTTAAAATTATTTTGAGAATAATTGCGACGTTTAATTTATAAAGCCTGTTGTTGAAAACGTAATAATATTTAAACTGCTAAGTAAAAAGTGAAAAATGTAAGCAGTCAAGTGCATGAAATTACTTTCTAAACAATAGTTTAAAACAAGATAAATAAAACCGTATTGCGGTATACTATTCTGGTGCATTGGCAGGGAATCGAACCCTGGTCTCTCGCTTGGAAGGCGAGAATTCTACTACTGAACCACCAGTGCCGAAACGTAAGCCGTGTTAGTTATGAATTCATAGAAATTTTGATGAATGATTTAATGTTTTATTTACATAGCTTGTTATTCAAAACCTCCAAAAAAATAAGTAAAATATAAATTGCAAACATTATACTACCTTAAAAGGAATGAAAGGACAAAAAGTTTTAAAAGAATCAGTTACGAGCTTATGATGATACGTGTTAATATTTTGCCATAGAATAAATTTCCCGTCTCTTGCGTTGCAGAATAGAATTTTACCAATAAATCACAAATATTGTTAGAAAAATCGTTCGAGAAAAAGTTTTAAAAAATGTTTAGCAACGTTTAAGTTATAAAGCATATAGCTTAAAACGTATTAAAAAGTTCAGTAAAAAGTGTAAAATGTACGCCGTTAAGTCCATGAAAATACATTCTAAAGTTTATTTTAATACAAGATGAGTAAAATCTTCGTATAGTAAGATTGGGAGTGCATTGGCAGGGAATCGAACCCTGGTCTCCCAAGTGGCAGGCGAGAATTCTACCACTGGACCACCAGTGCCATGACTGCCACTGGTTTATAATGATTTCCGAATTTTTATGAAGACGTTTAAAGTTTTGTTTAGAAAGCTTGTTATTTAAAACTTTAAAAGTAATCAGTAAAAGTTAATTTGCAAATAATTGTCTCCGTTAAAAAATAATAAAGGACAAATTAGTTATAAAAGAAGTCATTACTAGCTTATTATGATAATACGTATTCATATATTTTCACAGCAGAAATTCCTGCTCTTGCGTTGCAGGATGAAATTTAGCAATAAATTACAATATTGTTTAAAACTTGTATGAGAAAACTTTTAAAAATTATTTTGACAATAATTGCGACTTTTAAGTTATAAAGCCTATTGTTGAAAACGTAATAATATTTAAACTGCTAAGTAAAAGTGAAAATGTAAGCAGTTAAGTGCATGAAAATACATTCTAAAAATTTTTTAAAACAAGATAAATAAAATCGTATTGCAGTATACTATTCTTGTGCATTGGCAGGGAATCGAACCCTGGTCTCCCGTGTGGCAGGCGAGAATTCTACCACTGAACCACCAGTGCCATGAGTGCCACCAATTTCCCATGATTTCTTCCTAATTTTTTAAAAAGACGTTTAAAGTTTTGGTTAGAAAGCTTTTTATTTAAAACCTTAAAAGTAATCAGTAAAATGTTAATTATGCATTTAATTGTCTCTGTTAAAAAATAATAAAGGGAAAAATTAGTTATAAAAGAATTCATTTACTAACTTATTATGATAATACGTATTCATATATTTCCACAGCAGAAATTCCTGTTCTCCTACGTTGCAGGATGAAATTCTAGCACTAAATTACCAATGCTGTTTAAAAACTTGTATGAGAAAAACTTTTAAAATTATTTTAAGAACATTTGCGACGTTTAAGTTATAAAGCCTGTTGTCGGAAACGTAATAATATGTAAACTGCTAAGTAAAAAGTGAAAAATGTAAGCAGTCAAGTGCATGAAATTACTTTCTAAACAATAGTTTAAAACAAAATAAATAAAATCGTATTGCAGTATACTATTCTTGTGCATTGGCAAGGAATCGAACCCTGGTCTCTCGCTTGGAAGGCGAGAATTCTACTACTGAACCACCAGTGCCGAAACGTAAGCCGTGTTAGTTATGAATTCATAGAAATTTTGATGAATGATTTAATGTTTTATTTACATAGCTTGTTATTCAAAACCTCCAAAAAAATAAGTAAAATATAAATTGCAAACATTATACTACCTTAAAAGGAATGAAAGGACAAAAAGTTTTAAAAGAATCAGTTACGAGCTTATGATGATACGTGTTAATATTTTGCCATAGAATAAATTTCCCGTCTCTTGCGTTGCATAATAGAATTTTACCAATAAATCACAAATATTGTTAGAAAAATCGTTCGAGCAAAAGTTTTAAAAAATGTTTTAGCAAAGTTTAAGTTATAAAGCATATTGCTTAAAACGTATTAAAATATTCTGTAAAAAGTGTATTATGTACGCAGTTAAGCCCATGAAAATACATTCTAAATTTTTTTTTATCTCAAGATGAGTAAAATCTTCGTATAGTAATATTGGGAGTGAATTGGAAGGGAATCAAACCCTGGTCTCCCGTGTGGCAGGCGAGAATTCTACCACTGAACCACCAGTTCCATGAGTGCCACCAATTTGCCATGATTTCTTCCTAATTTTTTAAAAAGACGTTTAAAGTTTTGGTTAGAAAGCTTTTTATTTAAAACCTTAAAAGTAATCAGTAAAATGTTAATTATGCATTTAATTGTCTCTGTTAAAAAATAATAAAGGGAAAAATTAGTTATAAAAGAATTCATTTACTAACTTATTATGACAATACGTATTCATATATTTCCACAGCAGAAATTCCTGTTCTCCTACGTTGCAGGATGAAATTCTAGCACTAAATTACCAATGCTGTTTAAAAACTTGTATGAGAAAAACTTTTAAAATTATTTTAAGAACATTTGCGACGTTTAAGTTATAAAGCCTGTTGTCGGAAACGTAATAATATGTAAACTGCTAAGTAAAAAGTGAAAAATGTAAGCAGTCAAGTGCATGAAATTACTTTCTAAACAATAGTTTAAAACAAAATAAATAAAATCGTATTGCAGTATACTATTCTTGTGCATTGGCAAGG